CGGGGGTCCAGTAGTCTGGCTGGCTGCAGCAGCGACAGGCTCCAAGATATCATCGAAGGAGATACATACAAATTCCCCGCCCCTAACCATACATATGGACCGGCCTTGGTTTGGTGATGTGACGAATCATTGTATGACGATGGGAATCCAATCACTGTTCCCCCTTGTGATCAGAAGACGAGACTGACTCCTATCCACGGCCATGGGTGGTGGCGGTAGTGGATGATGCTGATGCTGATTCTGCAGTGTCCCGGCCCTCTTCCAGGTCCAGGGCGTTGGATGCTCGTTTAGAATCTTTAACTATCCGGATATCCCACTTAGCCACGTAACGAATCAAATGGGTACCTGTACATAGATACCGTATTCCTGCGACACACAGGCTCCGTCTCGGTACGACGAAGATCGAGGATCGAGGACGAGCAGGAGGAGGAGAGATGAAGGAGAACTTCGAGGGGAAGGGAAGGGGTGGCGGAAGGGGGGTGGCGGGGAGGGACCAGTCAGAATTGCATCACGCATTTTGGAGCGAGGTGTCCCCGCGGCGGCAGTCCGGAAGGCGTCCACGGGAGCGCCGATGGGGCCCAACTCCAGGCCTGGATGATGACGGATGAGCGATGGCGCTTACCCGCGGTTATCTCGTACATATGCACGTGTGTACTGGTGCGCATGTGCCAGTACGGGAGCAATCCCGACACAACTAGATCGGCAGTGACAGTGCTTCAAGCAGGAATCCTTCCGAATTCCGGTTGGGACCGATGGGGGAGGGGAGACCGGACTGTTGTGGGGTGATCAGGCTGCGGATAAACCGAGAGAGTGAGCGCACTGATCGTGATATGCCAAGAGGAGAGTAGTCAGGAGAACCCACGTAAACTGCAACGCTGTTTTGCGATCTGTGCGGGCCGTGAAACGTATGTAGGCTGCTGTTATCCGAGAACGCGGATCCCAATGCCGGACGGCGCGGAGAGGTAATCCAGATGTCGGAAGGATGATCGCGTGAGGTATTTCGCCCGATCCGGCGAGGAGGAGCGCCTGAAGAGGGGGAGAGAAAGAGGAGGCGGAGGATGTCAACTACGGCGACGACGACGTGGGAGTTCATCCGGTGAAAGGCGTGGGGGTACTTGCACGGGCTTTAGGTGCGTAGACAACCATGATCCTATTGCAAAGGAGACTGGAGACGAAACGACAGCAGCTTCAGAGTTGACGATATAGGTTGTTCTCGTTCGCAGGCACAACCAATACTGTGTGCGAATACGACAAGGCGGCAGAGGGGCAGGCAGAAAGAAAGTGAAGCCATTGCTTTTTCTCTCTCTCCGTGGCGCAGGTAAACAACAACGCAATCAAATAAGCGACATCTAGCCGTGGAATGTCCGCTTTCAGTCAAGCATGTATATCCAACAGCAACAACTACAACAAAAACAACAACTACATACAACAACAACGGCAAAGGACCAACGCAACTCACCCCACGTTCGAAATATTGCCTACAGGCACAATCACGACTATCCTCACCGGCACGCACCATCCGTCCCGGCGGCCGCGGCGTTGGAGGCGGCGTCAGCATCCAGATGCCCGTTCCTGGCGCACATCACCACTCTTCCGACAAGCTTCGTGGGCACATGTTGCTCCACATGGCTCCCAACGACCTGTCGACAGTTCTCTTTTCCCGGCAGCACGGGAATGCATGTATGGTACTAAACTTCTTCCGGGGGGCCAAAGTAGGTATCTCGGTAAATACATGTAAGTACCTGCTCCATGTCCTCGATACATATGCACACTGTGCAGATACTGCTTCGGTGAAAGGGCCGCGGCGGGCCATATGCCTCCGCCTGACTACCCATGGGCGGCAGTGTCTGCTGTATGATAGGTACATATGGTACTTTGCTATACCTACTCTACTATGGCTGCATCAATTGCTGGGCCAGGCCTCAAACAGACAACTGCAGAGGTACTCGTGCAGAGACTCGGAACCATAGTTTCATCTCTCACCTGCCTACATTCTTATGCATGCTGAAGGTTTCTTCAGGTTCCGGAAATGCAGGCTAACAGGTACCTCTCTGCTATAGGTTCGACGGGCACTTGCTTTGGTTCATCAGGCCTTCGTTCGTTCAAGGTGAGGACGACCTATCACCAAGTATGCATACGATCGAGAAAGTGCACCCTATGCATATCTTTTTCTTTTCTCTGAAGAAGCGCACTGCCGGTCGTCGTCGGTGGCTCGTGTGGCGCCGTAAGCTTCCTCGGTAAGCCTACTACTTCAAGCTTTCGCTGTTGCACTCGGCTTTAGTTACTTACGGAAGCCAAACGGCTCGGTTCATTTGCCTCGGGCCCTCCGCAAGATTTCATCGTTGGGAACGCACACATACCTACGCACACCGTTTTCCCGCATTTCTCCGCGGTCTCTACTCAGTACTCTATCTACTGGTAGGTACGGTAGGTATCCCTTTGAGTGATTCCTTTTCGTCGCCCTGGCTGGAATCTCTATTCTTACTTACTTTTGTACCGATTAGCAAGCCTTGCCCTGTCCGTCCGTCCGTCGTTCGAATGATTCAACTGACTGGCTGCCCCGCGGTCGGCCGGCCGGTCGGTCGACGGCTCCACAGCGGCGGGAACCGTATGTACATATCTACGTGTGTACCACACACACCTCGGATCGACGCTGTCAAAAAAACATCTTACCCACGTTTTCGTCACCCATGGATAGAGATAGGTGGTTGTTTCAAGTTCATCTCTCCCGTGCTTCCCGCGCACAGAGCCCCTCCCTACGCTCTACAGACACAGACACAGACTCACAGACTCCGTCAACCAAACCCAATTACTACTTAGTCACGCCCCCCTCCCCCCGGCCGCCCCCGAAAGAAAAAAATCTCTTCAGAGATGCGTGGAAAGAGGAAGGACCGCGACCAAGTCAAGGCTCTGATGAGGAAATAGGGGGGAGCCAGCCCGATGGCCGCGAGAATCCGAGTCGATTGCCGGCCCTTTCCCCCTTCACCCACCAAGGATCCCAGTGGCCCTGCGTCGACCGGAACACGCGTAGAAGAGATCGTGGGATGTGAGGATATTGGTTTATCTACTCTGCCTTTAGTTGGAAATTGCTCTGTCTGCACGCCACACATTACAGAGCTGGGCAAATGCGTCCCGCCACCCAACCTGTATAGAGTACCTACGCGTTTGTTGCACCGATCACGAGGGAAGTGCACCGGCACCTGCAACTGCACTCTCCAGTTGGGTCCGTCCGTTTCTCATAGGTTTTACCGTGACGGCAGAGTCTGTAGATCGAATGGCAGTTGGGCCTGCCCCTTCTAGATCTTGATCTTCATCGGTACTCTACATACCATGCCCGCATGCTGAAGAGAGGTTGATGCCATCGTACCGTGTACGCCTAGCAGAGCGCGTAACAATAATAACTCCTACATGCTCGGGCCTGCACACATCACTTCCATCATCATCATCACGCACGCCTCGCGGGTGCATAACTATGCTACCCCATCTTCACCAATGCGGACCTCCCTTGAGAGCAAAATAGTACGGCATCGTAATCCTACATACATCACTATTCCACAACCCCATCTAGGTACATGAGTAGTAATTGTCTTGGTCCTGCTGGCCAATAGAATCCCTCTACCAGACCTCCGTGCTGCCTGCCGCACCACCGTAGAAGTGACAGCTCTAGGTCTTATAGGAAGCTCGAGTCTTATGCGGATCGATCGAGAGAGAAGAAGAAGAAGCAGAAGAAGCCTTCTTGGCCATATTGTCATTGCCATTGCCATGTCCTCTCTTCCGCCCACCCATTCGCCCACCCATTCGCCCACCCACCACCGCACTCGCCTACTTGCTCCCTTTCGTCCATGCCACCTCCCCCCCTTCGTCCACCCCTTCCTCCCCGTCCTCCTCCTCCTCCCGCAACTCTCCACCCTTCTCCCCCCCTACCCACGTTTGGAGTAGCCCTCATCCCTGTGTCACTGTTCCCAGTCCGGGTTGGCTCTTGCACGCTTCGCCAAAAAGCGTAGTTTCGTACTCTACTAGCAGTATAGAACCATCGCTAGATCCCCATCACTCAAAATGCGACACCATCCTCCGCCACTACCATTCCCGACCCAACGTCCGGGATTTCTCCTGACCCTGAACCAGCAAGAAGCAAGCAACAGGCAAGCAAGCAAGCAGTGGAAAGTGAGATGTGAAGTGAGTGCAAAGGCAAAGACCGACGAGCACACGCTTCTGCTTCTTGCTGCCTGCTCTGCTAACAAAACTACCTCTATCTAACTACTACTACCCCCCAGCTCCTTTGGTTCGCCGCTGCTCGCTGCCGTTCCCGTTAGGCCCAACTGCACCTTCCTCCTCCTTCCCAGCGCCCTCCTCCCCCCATCCCTTCCCAGCTACCATCCACAGTCCACTCTCCTCCATTGCCTCCCCCACCCACCACACCACCCCCCCTCCCCCCGACATCGTTGTCGAGTCTCGCGGGTGCTGTTGTTGGCGTCACAGCTGCCGCTTTCATCCAATAAACATCAATAACCCACTCTACCACAAAGAACCCTCCGAGAACCTTCACCACTACAAACCCTCCTCCAAAAAAAAACCCACTCTCCTTCAGCAATTCCCCCCTCCCCCCTCCCCCCCCACCCCCCACTGGTTATACTCACCCGGTTACATACTCGCTCCTTTGCTCTCTTACTGCATCCATGTTCCGTCTCGGTTCCAGATCCAAGAGCCCGCGGAGGGCGGCTGCGGCCATGTACAATAGTGCCAATCAAGGGGTTGTATCAAGTACAGGAAACCCCGGTTCTCCAACATCAACGGCCGCTGGCCAGGATCCACAACACCTTCAAAGGCCTTTCTCTTCCTGGAGTTCGGCAGAATCCTACTCTTCAAATTCGTCAGGATCCCTTCACCGACCCGGACCACTGCAAAAAGGGGCCGGTCGCCACAACAACAGCAAAGACTACAACAAAAGGCCGCTCTCCCCCACTGCTTCAATAAGTACGGTCACAACAAGCACATCCAGCATGACCAGGAGCACTCGCAGCTTGCTAGGCAGGGGCCGCAAGCAGTCGGCCACCAGCGTGAACGAGGAATTCGATCCCACCACTTTTCGGAAAAATCGAAGCCGGCCGGCATTGGGCGCGCGGGGCCATGACGCGATCTACGATGAGTACAACGACCTGTTCGAGGAGGAAGAAGATGACGATGAGGATTTGTTCGGCGACCGAGTGGGAGCCGAAGGATTGTCTCGGATCGATGGCGGTGACGGCAAAGGACAGGACGGCAGCTTCTTCCTGTTGCAGGTCGCAGATTCGACGCCGGTTGCAGCGCGAAACGCAGCGAATGGGAGGCGAGAACACGGTTCCAACGACATCTCGCCGAAAACGCGGCGGCCCGCCAATCTCGCGCCCATCACCATCGCCAATCCTCCACACGAAGCGATCCTCACCATTACCCCACCAGCTCCTCCCACCCCACCACCGAAGTCATGGAGACCGATCCTGACGACGACGCCACCGAGAAGCACCGCTCCATCGGTCGAGGAGACGATGGACGCGCCTTCGGCCCCGATCTTCGCTCCTCCCACACCACCACCGAAATCGGCTCCGCTGTCGATCGACACCGAATTCTCGAACGCGAGTTATCGGATGGGCGATCGGATGGGCGCGCAAACGAGCGATTTGTCCTATTCCTCGTCCCACAGAACCGCACCTTCGGCGCCTGCCACGAGGACGAAGCACCCGTTCGGCGAGCGCGTGTCGTCCAAAGGCATCAAGCAGACGCGGTCCATTCCGGAAGGACTGGGGGTTAGCATTCCCTCGCCCACGCTGTTTGCTGCTACTCCGGGCGCATGGCCGGACCGCTCAAGTGCCTACGCTCCGACGTCACACCCAGTACAACTTCCCACCTCCTCGAACAGCGATGTCTTCCCGCAAGATCCCACACAAAAGAAGATTATCCCGAATATGCGTTACAGCGACACGGACATCGAAGGCGTAAAGCCAGTCGTTCCGTTGAAGCTGAGGCAGAGCAGTAGCAAACCCGAATTCTACCGCCCACCGATGGAGGCCGTTGTGGCGGTTGTCAACATTAAGTCTGTTGACGACAACGACGGCGATTGTGACGCAAAAGGCATTGCGGCAGAGACAGAAAAATCGATAGACGACCTGCTCGAAACACTCTCCAGTGAGAACCGCAGGAGCAGGCAACGATCGATCGCAAGGAAGTTGTCGCTTTCGGGAGAACTAGCCCTCTCTCGGGCTACCACCCCTGAGCCTGGATTGGAGGTTTCGGTGTCTGCATTCGAAAGAAGCGGAACCGTCAAACGGACAAGTCACGGTGATAGCAGTAGCAGCAACGGCAACGGCACCCATCAAAGAAATGCCTCAGAAGAGATGGCGGTAGAAGATGCGAAGGACACCGATCCGGCTTATCTTCGGGCTTTCCGAGAGTTTGTTAACGCTTCCGCCGACAACGATGCCTTCGTTTCTCGGGCGCCGCGATTCGATGCGATCCAGGCGCACAGAATATGCACGCGACTCAGGGAGGAATACCCACTACAAGTGAACACACTCCCTAAGGAGCGGCAGCCATCGGAGGCAAAAGTACGATCACGGTCAAACAGCAAAGCACGTCTGAGAGAAGCCGGCGAGGAAATCATGACCAGCTTGTGGGCATTGATGGCGTCGCGATGGCTGAGCTTTGGCAAGATGCTCATCAGCCCAGCTCACGAGATGATGGTTGCATCCAGCGCGAAGCAGTTAAGCAAGAGAGCGACGGTCAGGTTCGATGGAAGAGCCGCGCAGATGTTGGCCGAGGCAGGAAGCCGACCGTCGGTCTCAATGGAGAAGGAGAAGCGGCGGATACTTGATCTCGGAGGGATGCCAGTCGGTACGTATTGCTTTTGAACCGATCGCACATGGCTCGTACTGACAGAAGACTTTTAGCGGATTGGGGCTGGCACTGCGCTGTTGACTATCCAAAAGTCAAGGTTTTCACTGTCACACAGCGTCCGCTGACAGCTACGACAACCGCGGCATCCCCCGAGATTCCTCCGGTCGCTGCCCCTCCCCACTTCCGCGGCCCGAAGAACCACCGGCATCTCACCATTGACCGTCTCTACCGCCTTCCCTTTCCCGATAATTACTTCGATGTGGTCTCGACGCGCACGCTCTTCCTGATTCTCAAGAGCTCAGCACCATCCCGATCACCTAGCCGGACGCTGGACGAGTACGACCGCTGCCTCGCGGAATGCATTCGAGTGCTCAAGCCCGGTGGATACCTCGAGTTCATGGTCCTCGACAGTGATGTCATCAATGCGGGTCCATTGGCGAGCGATCTGTTCGCTCGCTTCTCTGCAGCACTGCAGAGCAGCGGACGCGATCCGGAGCCCACCAAGCGGTGGATCTCGAGACTCAACAGCGCTGGCTTCACTGATATCAAGCGCGCTTGGACATTCATGCCCCTGGCGCCGCCGGTTTCGAAGCCGAAAGTACCCACCAAGGACAACAGTGATATAGAGGCGGTGCCGCCGCGACCTGGAAGTGATTCGCACGATCCCGAGGTGATCGCGGAGCAGGTGCGGAGGCGGATGCAGACGTGGGAGGATGTGGGCGTCAAGGGGAGTACCAAGGACGTGGCCGCCGTTACGGGACTGCTCGGTGGGTGGGTGTGGGAGAAGTGGTTGAGGGCCGCTGGAATTGCCGACGAGGGCATCCTGGGCAACGTGATCGAAGAGGCAAAAGAACGGGGCAGCGGGCTGAGGAAACTGGTGGGTTATGCCAGGAAGCCGTCGCTGTGAGGATTTGGTTGGGACTGATTGCTGGTACTGGACGGGGGGACTTGGTGTGGTTGGGTTTTATACTGTACAGGAGGGCTTGTTTCTCAAAGATTTGCTTGGTTTTGTTTGGTATGGAGGGGTAAGGAGGGACTTGTTTATTTTTGCTGTTTATTCTGTACATTGGGCGTTCCGAGGAGTCGTTTTTTGTTTGTTTGTTTTGGCTTATTTGCGAGCGCATTTGCTGTTTCAGGCCTCGGTTTTTTTTTTGGGAAGGGGGCGGGGGTTTTATCTGCGACCATACAAAGTTCTTTCTTCCTTTCTTTGTCTATTATTTTTCTTTTCTTTTTTATTCGTCTTTATGGGGGGATTCTTCACAACTGAAGGGCTGCGTGCTAGCCTTACATTACATTACATTACTCTACTACATTACTTACTTATGTTATCTTGTGTTGCCCGGTTGGCAGCTTTACATTCTTACTACCTTACTACCTTACCTTACTACACCTACTGCATCTTATTATACTACACTACACTGCTACACTGCTACACTGCTATCATTTTGTTCCGTTTGTTCACTTTTGTTCACTTTCCTTCTTCTTATATAGACGTCATCCTCCTCCAGGCTCTTCCTCCTTCTTGTCTATACTGTACTTAGCCGGTCTCTATGTTTATGAACGTCATTATCATAAAATTGAAAAGATATCTACTTACCTTTACTTGTGCGCTGCCGGCTTGCATGAAGGTGGCGGTGATAATCGGTTATTGGTTTGCTTTTTTTTCTTTTCTTGCAGAGGGAGACCGATAGCGAGTGATATAATGTGTTTTGGCTTTAGTAAATAGTAAAGAGCAACGAACGTCGGGGGATAAGCTTGCTGGTGAGTTGGGTGAGTGGGAGGGTAGTTGTTGAGCGTAAGGAGGCTAGAGTAATGGTCTGATATACAAAGGTAACTACACGAAAACCACTGTTTATTCTTGGTGGTGAATGTTGAATGCTGGAGGTTGGAGGTTGGAGGTTGGCCGTTGGAGGTTGGATAGACATTGCGTAGTTGTTGAGTTGATGTAGCTAACTATAGTATGTACTTAGGTACCTGGTACTCATGCTAAGCCCAAGTTATAGATTCTCAAGGCTGACGATCTCTCTTTACCACGGGTCATGAACCGTCATTCGTGGGTCGTGACATATCATGAAGTACCTACTCTACCGGTATACCATCGCCAACTGATTGATGTAATTATACGGGAAAGACGAGAAAAGAGAGAAATGAGACTACTAATGAAGGGAAACGGGCTCGTGTAAACAGCGAGATGAAGCCGGGCCTCAGCCAGAGGGCTGGGGGCTTGAAGGCTTAGATAACTAAAGAGGCTGATTCTGGTGAGAAGCCAGGGACAATGCTATGTAAGCAGCCACGGCGGCCACGGCGGCCACGAAGGCTGTACCTATGCGACGATGCAAAAGTATTTTTTTCGAGTACAGAGAAAAGTACTTAGCAGTGACACCAGAACAGGCGATAAGACGCATACCTATTTAATATCAACAGCGAGTGTTGAGAAGTAAGTAGGTACACACGAGTAAATATTTCTGTTGATTGCTTCGCAAAACACAGCGGACGACCAGCTATGTAGGTAGACATACCAGAAGGAAGCAGAAGCAGATATGAAAATCAAACAGGATTCTCGAGGCGTGCAAATATTACCAATAGGTATGACAAATGTGCAGTATCTTGGACGAGTGACGATGTGGCTTTTCTGCGAGAATGGCAACAGCGGGAGCTATTTTGGAGGAGGAGGAGGGGAGGTTGAGTGATCGCTGGCTGAACAGCGTAGCTCATAGAAGCCTGGAAGAGGGTTGCCTACTGTGCGTGCACGGTTGAAGACTTGAAGTACCATACAAAGGTGCGATAGTGATGGGTAGTATTATTGTACCGAGTGATAGAATGTGACGTCTATCTGAAGTTCTGATCCTGCTGGCTGGCTGGCTGGCGATTAGAGTACCCACCACGGCAACACGGCAACGCGGCAACACGGCACGACGCTAGAATGCCACTATTGGAATACTTTCGTAATCTGTAGTCTTCTGGGCTGCTGGATTTTGCAGTATGTAGGTACCTATTATTATTGCTTGATGGCAAAGAAAGGTAGGTAAGATTGGATAAATCATACAGCCCCGAGTGTCCGAGTAATTCCACACAGGAGCAGAGCAATTCATGGCGACGAAGATGAAAGCCACGAATGAAACAAGAGTGCACCACGGCTAAAGTTCGCGAGAGCAAGCGTGGAATCGCAAGCAGCACGCAGAGCTGCCATACATATCACTTTCCTCCGATTTCCGAGGAAAGGTGGAGTAGGTACCTATGTTGGACGTGGTGTCGTCGCGGATCCACGATCACAGTGGCGGCAGTGCGGCTTTTCGAGTATGTAGGTAGCCGAAGGATCGGGAATCTGTGCTGAGTATGTAGGCGGGGAAAGCTGGGGAAGCGGGGGAAGCGGAACGGATCGAGGTCCGGTTCTACGGATGCGTCGAGCGTTGTTGTTGTTGTTGTTGTTGTTGTTGTTGTTGTTGTTGTTGTTGTTGTTGTTGTTGTTGTTGGAACACGCATGACAATCCAGTTGCTGAAGCACCTATGGCGGGCGTATTGAGGACCTTACCGGGTCTTAACCAGCAAGGGCGCGCCCCGCTCTAATTTTACTGTGCTCTACTGATCTGTAATGCAGAGTACCGACTGGTACCACAGGCCCTTTAATTTGCTGCTAGACAACCGTACTGTCTGGTACTGGACACGCAGTAGCAGACTATCGCCGCGTATTACCTGCGGCTGCGACTGCGACTACGAGCACACGTTTTGCTAGTACAGCGGAGTAATACTCAGTACCACCCAGTACAGAGCGGTACCGCTATCGCCGCATCGGCGGGCCCGCTACTGACGCTCACTAGCTGTAGCGGCAGTGGGTAGGATACATTGGGCGGTGCAGCTCCAGAACCATCAGTACTGCTCAGTACTGACCGATACCGCTATTGCCGCATCGGCGGGCGCGGTACTGACGCGTACTGCTGGCAGCTATGGCAGGCAGGATACATTGGGCGGTATCGCTCCAAAAGCGTCAGTACTGCTTGGTACAGAGATGTGAAGGCAGAAGATTCAAGAAATGAAGGAGTGTGGGAAAAAAACGAGGGTGAATGAAGCGAGAAACCTAGTGGAGGGCTTGCAGTTCGCTCTTTATGCCCAACAAGCAAGAATGGTTTCAACGATTTACAATTTCTACCCAGACAAAAAAACAGACCAGTAAAGTAAAGTAAAGGACTCCAACTACATCAACCCACCCTCACTCGCCGCAATGCCCAATGCGAGGCCTCTCGAGAACCACCTAGTAAAGCCCAGATTACCACCCATGAAGTAAAGGTTCCTCTCTCCAACCCTCTTCCACATTCCCCTGAGCTCGCCCGTGTCCTCTCCAATGCCCCAAACATCCTCCACACCCTTTACTGCATCCTCACCAAGGATCTTGGCGGCAGTGGTCTTCATGTTCGCGTATCCGGTCGCGAACACGATCTCGTCGGCCGCGAGCTTGCTGCCGTCGTCGAATTCCACGCCGTCGGGAACGATCTTGGTGATTTCGTGGCCCTGCTTGAGTTTGATCGCGCCCGAGCCGATGAGGGCGGATGCGCCGACGTCGAGATAGTAGCCTATATGGAGGATTTTCTCAGCGGGTGTGCATTTGGGGGGCGTCGGGAGAGGGGGATCAGCTTACCGCCTCCGCGCTCCATATATTTCATAAAGAATCCGCAGCCGTGAGGCCCCTTGTCGAGTTTGAACCCGGCTGCGACAAGGGCATCGTTGATGTGCTTATCCCGCTTGTCGATCGCTTCGGTGACGGCGATCTGATTTCGCTTAAACACACGGACGGGGGAGGACATGAGGATCATGTCTGCGTCTTCAACAGATGCGGGCTAAAGACTTTGTTAGATGAGACTGCATATGGAGGAATGAGTGTAGGTGCCACAAACCCCATCTTCATCGTAGAGCCCTTTGAGGAGGACATCCAGCCCATTCTCCGAGGTCATAACATATGTGGTGCTCCGCTGGACGATGGTAACATCATATCCCTTTTCGTAATAATCCTGGGCAATATCATGGCCACTATTGCAGCAGCCCACCACCACAGCTTTCCTCTTCTCACCACCTTCCATCTTCGCTCCGGGGAACCCAGAGGAATGGCACAGCACGTCTCCCTTGAACGTGTCCATTCCCGGGAATGTGGGCATGTTTGGCTCGCCGGAGTGGCCGGTGGCGATGATGAGATGGCGCGGCTGTAGCACACGAGTGCCGGAGGGGCGGGTGACGGTGACGCTCCAGGTATTGGTTTTGGGGTCCCAGGAGGAGTCGGCAATTGTGGAAGAGGTCCAGACATTGAGTTCTAGCGATGATGCGTAGGATTCAAACCAGTCCCCGAGCTTGTCTTTGGGCGTGAATTTCGGCCAGCATGTGGGGAAGTTGATGTATGGCAGGTGATCGTAATTGACGGGATCGTGAAGGACTGCCAGAATTAGCCCATCGATTCGAACAATGAAGAAAAGAAAAAAGTGACTTACCCAGCTGGTGATACCGCTTTCTCCAGTTGTCTCCTACCCGCTCATTCTTATCGATTATGAGGGCTTGGATGCCGATCATCTTTAGCCTAGCTGCAGCAACCAGGCCACCCTGCCCAGCACCTATATCACCCTATCTATTAGCTCTCGTTTAATGCATCTCGCCACCTCAACGATGGATACGCACCAACGATCAGCACGACAGGCTGACTATCCACGAACTCAACCTCATCAGCTCTCCTCTCCTTCCAATTCCGCCGTGTCTTGTTGGCCCCATGGCTGACACCGACCGGCCGGTTCCTCCCCACTCTCTCAGGGAACTTATCGAGTTCCTTGAGAGCAGTGAACATAGTGTATGCCTTCCACACGCCCTTGCCCTCGCCATCAAGGTCCTCGAGCAGCTTGACTATACCCTGGCCATTCCCCATAGTAGTCTTGACATCGACGAAAGCCGTGATCGCTGGGACCTGACCTGCGAAGTCGACCGGCGTGGCTGTGACGGCGTGGCTGCGCGAAAGGGAGATGGATGTGATGCGGCCAGAGGAGAGGAGCTCGTGGATCTTGGCTGGGGTCTCTGCGGTCTTGTAGTCCCAGGACAGGCAGAGGTGATCGCGCCAGAAGCCATCAGCGAGGAAGAGGGAGGAGACTGATTTCGAGTCGGGGGTCTTGAGATATGTGGCGAAGGATGAGATCCAGGCATCGATTGGAGTGGATACGTCTGTGGGTGCTGGTCTGGGCTTGGGGAGGGTTGCAGGTGTGAGCGAAACTGCGGGAGCCATGATTGTGATGCTGATAGTGATGGTGATGCGCGGAAGACTTTACTAGATGAGAAGATGAGATGAGAAGCGATGAGATGAGGCAAGAGATAGGCAGGCGATTGCCAGAGGTTTATATACCTGCCGTGAGACCCTCTCCATGGGGGCTAACTACTGACTGACCACGGTTGCAGAAGAGGGGATAGGTGTTTCTTTCACGAGCCCGAGACGCATGTGGTACTACGATTTGATACACACGCAGCTCTGGAAGCGATCCGAGCCCAATATCGCAATCAGATTGAGAGATACCTGCTGCAGCTCTTGTGCGCTTGCGTCGCGCATATCCATCTGCCCGGAGCTCATCGACATCACGAGTTTGGTGCTGAGATGACATCGCGGAGCTCGTATGCTCCGGGTACTAGCTTCGGTAGGTAGGAGGAGAGTGTGGGGTAGTGCGGGGTTCGGGGAGAGTCCGGGGAAGTACGGTTATGCACGGTGGGGATTCTGGATCTGCCTCAGGGTCCGTTCATGGCGCTGGACGCCACAGCAAGCGTGGGGGTGCTCGCCGCACAGACGCGTCTGCGCCACACCCGGGCCTCACTGATGCAGGTACATGGGTGCTTGCATGCGCTCTACTGGTACACACATGCATAAATACATAGAGTGGGTGCTCCAGGTTTCGGATGTGCGCATAGATATGCGAATCGAGCAGCATCCTTTAGTCCGCCGTGAGACACTGGGGATTGTTGTTATTGTTAATCCGGAAGTGTCGATACCGGTACTGTGGATGAAGAGTCTAAGGTGTGCGTCCACTCTTTCTGACCGCGGATTGAGTGCCCCGACCGACGAATTCGACGATGATGAGCATGAAGCGATAGAGATCAATCGAGCAACAGTCCCTGGCCGGAGAACTGCACCACCACCGGGTGCTACGTCCGAATCTCAGAAGAGGGAGGAGAGTGAACTCTAGGGGAAGAGCTCAGCGCTATGCGCATAGAACCACGCTGGCCAATGACGACTGGCATTTTCCCAACCTCGCCTTCGATCCAAATATCTTCACTGCTACATGTTCATCGGGCCCGGCCTTGACAGCTATGTACGCAAACCCCGAGACGACGATTCCTTTTGAGCACTGTGCCGTGCGCGCTAGACAGGTTATGTTGAGGGTAGTACCGAGTGGTGGTACCTTTTGGAGGAGAGGAGGGTTACGACGCGCCGCTACAGCGCAAAATCGACAACTCGAGCTTCTTCGGAGGCTCACTTTCAAATATTGTGAGGATAAAGGGATTTAGACTGTCATTTCTGTTTCTGTGATTTGGTGGTGGAATTTCTCTGTCAAAATGTTGTATTGTAGATTCCTCTATCTGCCATAACCTTAGGGTTCCATGCTGTAGATACATATGATCGATCAATCGATAAATCAATCGAAGAGTCTATGCAGGACCCTAAGAGTCCAGATCGTTGTTGGCTTGTTGGCTCGGCGGTGTTCTCTGGTGATCATGCGCTGCTCGACAACCCATTCTCGAACACGGACCCCCTGCCCCAACTACCAAGGTGCCACACTGGCGGCCTTCGGCGATGCCAAAAGCAGATTCCCGCCGTAGGAGGCTAGCAGCGCTCCGCTGGCGGCGTCCAAGCCTCAACGTCAATGCTTTGACCGCCTCACGACCCAGGAACAGCGACACAGCCACACGATTCGTACTTTTGCGGTTGGAGGAGCGTCTTGGATCCCCGCTTTGGTGCGACGCGTACGCATATTGCTAGTGCTCACCGGACCGGCAGCACCTCCTCGATCAATGGTGCCCGCCGAGATCCCGCATCCACGCAAAGCCGAGCGGCAGGCAGCCACGTCATGCCGTGCTCGTCTCGGCGTGCCAAGCTGCCAACTTCTCGGGCTCCTCTTCAACTGCAAGGGGGGGGAATGGCCATATAAATCCCTTCCCCTCCCCCGCAATCCTTCAGTTCGATTAATATCAGCATCAGCTTCGACATCACATTCATCGCAACTTCCACTCAAACAACTCAAACTCAAACTTCGAAGAAATCAGCACAATGGGCGGCAACTTCCACACCTCGGCTCAAGACATCGTCCTGAAGGACGGCCACAAGCTGAAATGTGAGCTCAAGAACAACAGTGGCCGCACCGTAAGTGCCAGCCTGGACCTCAACCACTACGTCGGCAACACTGATGGTATGTTCCGCCCATCCCTTCACCTTCTGTCGGCGGCCCTTCCTGACTCACATATCACAGGCTGGTTCAAATGGAACGGCCGCGATTTCACCAGATCGGCCAAGAACATCTCCCTTGTGCATGGTGACGGCGGGCCCAAGCTCGAGGCGGATTTGTTGTGCGCAGACGGCAGCTACCGGGCGCGCCAGGGACTTCACATCGCTGATCGGATCGAGAACAGGAACGGGGAGTTGGTTTTCCGTGAGTGGCCCGAGCTTCCTTCATTAGGTAATTCCATCGATGCTGACAGTTCCGTAGTGCACGACTAGAGTTCCCCTGTCAACGCGAAGGACTAGGGTTGATGGCCGAGTGAGAGAGTGAGTGAGCTGGGAGTTTTTTTTCTTTCTTGTGGACATGTATTGGAGCATCGTGCGCGTGGACAAAATGCAAACCGAAGCGCATACTCAACCAACGTTGCATATGAATATCCTGTGACCTCGCCACCGAGTCTTTTCCGTCTTTATTGCCCACCCACTTTCAGGTCTGCCGGGTCCACCACCGCAGAGACTATGACAACGCTGAGCATGTGAGTTGAGAGCGGCTAAGGAGCTATATTAGTAGCACACAAGTCCCTTCCCGCCCCGACGTAATTCCAAGCCTTGACTTTCCATTGACCCTGCATACTCTTTTCCTCGCTATGTACAATTCAACTTCACGCACGCCGCGGCCCCAACGGCCCGTCAAAATCCATCCCAAGCCAGCACTTCACTCACCGAGTTCGTACCCCTTATCAGTGCAGGCAACAGCCCAGCCCAATCAAAGCCAGCCCGCAGCCCGCAGCCCGGCGCGTATAGCCCAGCCCGGGCTGGGCTGGACTTGGCAGCCCAGCTTTGGGCCGCAGCGAGTGAGTTCCAATGATGCGTCTCACTACTAGTACATATCGTCGAGGGTGATCCGGCACGGCCACCTCCTGTATGCATCCCAACAGCAACAACCGCAACAGAATGATCGTCCGCAACCAGAGTACATAAATCATCTCCCACAACAAAGCCACCTCCCGCAGAAAATCGCCTCCTGCAACGATCATCTCCTGCAACAATCGTCTCCCGCAACAAATCGCCTCCCACGTAACGCTCAATCCGATGTCGGACGCAATCGAGTCGAGAGCGCCGGTTTCGAACCAAGTGGCAGCCTAGGTAGTATCTAAGCGAAAGTTGATGTCGCCAGCGTGGGCCTGTTTCCTATGTATGTACATTAAATACTCTTTCTTCAGTCCTGAGAGAGAGAGAGGGAGAGAGAGATCTTCAGTTTCTTTCGCATGCAGTCTATCTAGACTAGATATGGCGAACCGTCGCACTCCTTTCCTGCCCACTCTGGCCGGCCGGGGGCTGGGACCCCGCGGGCCGCTACCGGCCAGCACTTTGTGGCGCTGCTGACTACCAAACAACCTCGTCTCGTTGATAGCCCGGGCTACATATCAGATCAGCTCACCAGCCTCAGCCCAGCCCATGAAGTTTTCGGGCTGTTGCCTGCACTGCCCATTGTGGACTCCAACACGGTGCGCATGGAGCCGCTGATGGCTGGTAGGACCGTGAGGGTGCTAAGGTATGTAGATGCGCAATATGGAGGAGGGGGGTTGAGGAGGATCGAAGTACGGCCCTATGGGCAATGAGTGGATGGAAGAATTTGTGACATCCATGGGGTAACAATGCCTTTTTATTGCTTACTTGGCCATCACTAAAGTAAATGCTTATGTGTACATAAATTAGCATACACAAGGCAGAGTACCGTACTTGGCTACGATGCTTAAATAAATACTACCGTATAAACCCGGATATTTGACCTCCCTGTGAAATAGAATTAGCGTGGTGTAACGCGCGCTAGAGCGCTTCGGGCCATCGTTGCTGCGGCAACAAACGTCACCTGATGTCGCTTTGAAAGGCTGAAGTCCGTGAGAATGGCAGTGGGCTGCCCGCCCCTGGACTAAACAGCGGTTGATGTACAGCTTTGCAGAAAACCTCACCGAGATTGACAGCAGCAATGAAGATGAACCTTTTGCTTTATTAAGCTCACTCACTGCCGACGGCTCACATTGTTACACCCAGCGAGCTGGCAACATACCTCAGGCATATGGGAATACATTAGTATCGCTGTTGATTATCATCAACCCTTACTATGGGCAGTCATTGGAAGAACTCAGTCAGAATTCGAGGATTTTTGGCGAGTGATATATCATGATTGGGATTCGAACCTCACAGAGATAGCCGCTAGAACCTCGTGGAGGGTGGCTATGGACTCATTGGTGAGTTCGGGAGTGCGCTCAATCACCTAGGCAAACCTGTTGGAAATCTCACTAAGACGTGCAGGTTGTCAAAGGTTATCCTCCGTGGCCGCCATAGTAAAAGCATACTAGTTGCCGTTTCCCATACAAATAAAGTTTTATTTAGGGGTCAAAACAGCCCTCGAACGGTCGTGCCGGACAGGCGAGGCGAAACGTACCCGGTGGGTATATGAGGGGAAGCCTGTCATCAGTCAGTACTTTGGAGAAGTTTGGATCAAAACTCGTCGAGTTGCATATACATACTTCTGCAGTCATACTGCGATTGCTGCGGCACTTGAGACACGTCGTAGACAATAAGGAGACGCATACTATCTGCGAGATAGTAGTCACCGGAAGGACACGGAAGTCATCGAGCCAATAGGCTGCGGCTCCGTCGTTTGTAGTCGCCGACCAACTCAAGGGTGCATACGAGTTCAGCTCGGAAACACCAAAATTGAAGATAGACAAGGGTTCGGTACCCGAAGACCCAGTGCCTAGAACCATCGTCCACATCTCGTACGAGATACCCTTGTGTATTACCGAGGTAATACTCTCCCGAGCGCTCATAGTTAGACATCAGGTGGGGTGAGCCGTGTCGGTATAAAGACCGACGACTTTCCGTCGTAGAGAAGGCATCGACTACCATCACTGGGAGTTAAGCCATAACAATCAGACATTGTTACTCTTGGATTTACTCTCTCTCCCTATTCGTGATTATCCGATCATCAACCCTTTTCAGTTGTTTCCAAGAACAAGCCATCGTGCGAATGCAATGCGGTACCTAAATACTTCATCAGGACGGTGCTCCACCACAGCACAATTTAAGTATTTAGAGATATCGAGTCATAGGTTGTGCATGAGTGCACGTCATGTGGAGTGCAACACCACCACAAAACGTATTCTGGCAGCAGCGCATGGTCACCTAAGCACTCGTTTCTGAAGATGGGCTCCGTGATATCAAGTATGTTGTGCTGTACTGTCTCGGAAATATGCATCAAGGACTTACTCACAAAGCCGCCTAATCTCCGACGTGACGTTTTGTGCAAATCGATCAGCCAGCGATGGGAGTTCCTACACTGCCACTTTTCTCGTAGGTATTTGGTACTCCTTCAATTCGGCAATTGGGTTCAGGCAGTGACAGCACAAATGTTGTGCAGCAAGATGCGAAGATGAGACATATCCAGTGATTGGGATGACTTCTTAACGTCTGCCTCGGAAATTAAACTCCCGAGAGTCAACCGATCTCGAGTCCAAGCGTAAAGCGAGCTTCGAGCTCGGAGAAGTAGGAGCCAACGGTACCGGAATAGTGGGATAACGATGCTCAAAATAGTTGCCATGACCGACACTTTACTACTACCCAAGAAAAGATATTCTGAGACTCGAAGTTCTTCGTAGATGTGTCGGCCCAAGTTTCGCCGAATATCGAGAGCCAGGCCCACAATTGCGTATCCTGAGTTCTTTTGTCGAAAGAAGTTGTGCATAAGGCACTCATAATTGTGGGGAGCGGATTGGGACACACGATAAGCTCGAATATTCCAGGTCTTACCACATGGGAAAATCGAGACAAATGCTGGGACCCATTATAATATTAGTTATACAGTTTAATGAGAAATGTTACATCGCTCGATGGTACGGAAGAGTCGTGGAGTGAAAACTTTCAGTGTGGGTCGATCGACTCCATGCGAGTGATATCATGTGTATCTATCTGACACGCACATCTCCCTGTTCTGGTAGCTCAGGGGTTAGAGCGGTCGATTGCAGATCGACAGGTCCCCCGTTCAAATCGAGGTCAGAACTACTATGGTCTCTGCCTTCTCAAACTTGAGAAGGTTAAGCCTTCTATTTTTGGCCGGAGACGAAAGCATATTTAGAGATTAAACCACTTCTTTCCCTTCTTCTCCATAGCCTTACGATCCATATCCCTTTGCAGCATCTTCGAGTACACATGATCCACCAACGTCTTCTCCCTCAACCTCATTTGATCCTCGTTAAACAGCCCGCGGCCACCATCAAACGCCGTATCTGGGTCATCACTGCCCTTGCACTCCCCCTCGACGATGCCAACGGTCCAGCATAGCTTCTCCACAATACCCATCATCCACTCCTTGTGTTCCAATCCATCCCTCCACTCCCTGGGCAAGTCGGTAAACCCGGTCCAAGATCCCAAAACCGCACCGGCGATGCATGCATTGGTATCGGCATCCCCACCCTCCATCACCAGCTCGAAGATAAGCTCTTTAAAGTTGCCCCCACGAATTCCACGCCGCAGTGTCACCACCGCCGTTCCAAGCGCTTTGTAGACGTACCCTATCTTGCGCCTGTCGTCGAGTTCCAGCGCCGCTAGGTCGGCGGCGTAAATGTGACGATGGAAGTCCTCGCGGTCGAGGAGCTGGGCATCGGGAAATTCGGGGTCCGGATGATCCCACGTCTTCGGGCGCGCTTCGACGAAGGAGTACGCAGCCTCGATAACCGCATCCACATCGGTCTCGCACAGTACCTCGCCGCGGAGAATCCCCCGGATGAGGCCCGTGACGATGCAGCAGGCGACGGCACACCTCGGGTCAAAGTGAGACACCAAGGACATCTCCATCGCGATTTCGAACGTCTCCTCGCGCGTCTTGCCCACGCAGATGATCCCTAGCGGGTGGGTACGCATCAGCGAGCCGTTCGCGGCGTTGTTTCGGCCGCTTTCAAGCCACTTCGCTTTCGCCACAGCGAAGGGGTCCGTAGTGAAGAGCGGGTCACCCGTAACGGTTTTTACCGTTCGGCCGAGACCGAGCGGTAGGCGATCGAGGACCCGGAGACCTTGCGAGCACCAGGACTGTAGGCGCTTTGCAAACTCGATAGGTTTGAGCTGGCCATCGTGGTGAAGGTATGTGAGGATCATGAGTAGACTATGGTCCGTGTCGTCGGTCCAGAAGCACTATGCTGGTCAGTAGTGGATCGTCCCTACTCTCAGAAGAGGTGGATGGTACCTCGACAAACTTGTCGCGATGGCCGTCGCCGAAGAAAGGAGTCACCGGTGGGATCAGAGAGATGCTCTGGCCATCGTATGCTTCGGTAGCTTGTTGCTTTGAAAGGAATTCTACGATCACAGAGGTGAGCCTGACATATCTCGCTAACCGCAACGTCCACTGACCAGTATAAAGCCCCACGGCGTCACCTAGGGCCGAGCCGATGAGAGTTCCTCGAACTTTTTCGACGACGGTGGAGCGCACGAAGGGGTGCAGCGAGAGGTAGTCCAGATTTGCGGATTCGGATGCCATTTGGACTGCAGGAAAAGGGGGGAGGTTGGAATAAGCCCATGTCGTACGGATTATATACTTGACGTATAAGACAACTCTAACTGCTTGTAGGGCAGTGGTATCTTCCGATTGGATGGATGATTCCGAACGAGTGATAGTCATGATAAGGACGGACTTGTGAGGACAAGTATCACGGGCTGTTTCATTGCTTTATTTAATGGCTTCTATAACACTCTTTTGAGGGCGACCCTAAATACTGTACCTACAGTGAAGGGGGGAGTGTGGGCGGTAAAATAAACGAAAGTGATAGAGCCCTGTAAAGGGCCGCAAAGTATCACCGAAAAACAGTAATGACACCGCTTCAACGCTTCAGCGTATGCGTTAACATTACGTTCAGCGGTGCGATGAGAACCAACGCACTTGTGTGGTTATGCTAGTACATGTCCTTTTAACTTCCCAATCATGAGTTCGAGTTTTCAGGCCCTACAATTCTACTGTTGATAGGGTCTCGAATGACCGATGCAGACCTTTTGAGACTTGTGCACTGAATCAAGCCTCGAGAACGCCAGAAGGCATAGAGCACCTATGATAGCTACATACAGGTTGTGCGAGAGCAGCTCCTAGGCCCCCTCACTCATCCCTATGGAAGCGGTTTCAGCCTGCAATGTGTAGAAGCTTACCGAAGCAATTCCATTTGCGCTTCTGTATCACTTCGAAGAAACTTGGTTAACAAGCATCAAACCGAGCTCCATATCTCTCCCTGCGGAAGATGCCGCAAGCGAGGTGTCCGAGTGGAAGCCTTGGAGCGGAAAGGCGTGCAGAGAGGAGGCGAGAGGAGGAGGAGGCTGAGGTTGAGGAGCCAGGGTCATACCCGTTGTTCCTCCCCATACCTCCTCCATGGCGTCTTCTGAAGAAGAGGCAGCGGACGAGACGGAGTGAGTAGCGGACTTTTCTTTTCCTTCTTCTTGGCCAAGGGGAGGGACCTTGTAGAGTATCTTCATGTGGATTGGATGACGACAAAGCTTTACTGCATTGTGGTGACTGACGTCTCGCGCATCAACGATTGATTATCTGTGTAGCTGAAAGCGCAAAATTTTAGATTGACCCAAACGCGACTGTTGTATACATGAAAAGCCGCTTAGAGAGTCCCTAATGCTGTTATAGGGGACCTGGTTGTATGTCATACATTCTGTTACACACCCACAATCGCGTCTGACCAACGCGTCTCACCGCCCTCATTTCTTGATCGCTGACCACATCCCGCCACTTCAGCAACCATAATGTTCCGCAAACAGCCAGGAGTCAGCTCCCATTCAGCAGTTTCATCCTCCCCAATCGACCTAACCGCCTCCTCTCCGCCCTCCGCAAAGAAGCAAAAGACCGCTCACCCGCCGCCCCCGACTTTCCCGACGCCATCGAGGCCCCGCGGACCCCGGCAGACACAGCTCACGGCGTTCCTGGCAACCCCGCCCCCGGTCAAGAAGTTTACACCGACGAAGTCTATTGGAAAGAAGAGGGCGAAGAATACGTCTATCCTGAAGTTTTTCAAGCCTGTAGCGGACGGTGACGGGAAGGGAGGGAAGAAGGATGGAAAGAGCGATGAGTTGTTCATCAGCCATGGCGGGTATGGACTTGATGTCAGTGATCCTGAAGATGCAGACGAGAGCGATGACGAGGAACTGGGGTTGGATGCTTTAATTGCGAGGGAGGCCATGAAAGCGGGGCCGCCGCCGGAACCGATGGAGCTGGAGCAGGAGGTGGCGAGCGAGCCGGTATCTACTGTCAACGATGATGTACCGACTGAGAGCACCACTGCACCGATTACTCCTATCGCCAAAACGAAGTACGCAGCACCAAAGTTTGATCCGTCGGCACTTAAACTGAACCTCTCGTCCTCGATGCTGTTCGGTAAAGCGCCCGCTCCGATGTCTGCCACGAAGACGACTGCTACTACACCGACAGACAGTGGGGACGACACACTGGCTACAGCCACGAACGATGTCGCAGAAGAAGCTACCACAACTACCACACCTTCAGTGATGAAGGAGCTCGCTTCGGTCCCGTCGAAGGCTGCAACTTTTGAGAGCACGGACACAACGACGAAAGTTGAGCACACGGTCGCGACAAAGACAGTCCCAGCGAACGCCCGAGACATTGTAACAACGAAAGCAGGCTTCAGAGGTTTATTGTGGGGGAGAAAGCCGCAGGAGACTGAGGTTCTGGACGACATTGAGGACTTCACACAGACCCAGACGCAACGGTTCAAAAAACGCCAACGGGAGCCCGAGGATCACATACAAGGGACATTCGAGAGTATGAGTGTTAACTCTGATCATGATGTGGAGGACGCAGGGGAGAACGAGGACGACAATGAGGACGAACCAAACCAAGGCTCCGATGCCTCCGACGAAGAGGAGGATGCAGAAGAGGACACGATGGGATTTGAGCAGTGGGAGGCTACGCAGACAACTTTTGACTTTGATCCCGCTGCTAGAGCCGTTGAAAGAGGATTTTGGCAGGACACCCAGGTCATAATGAAGCCCTCAGATGTCCAAGTCGAAGCCACACAGCTTCCTGCTGCCGCAAAGTGTCCCATATGTGGAACCAGTTTTGCGAGGTTATCGAACTCGGACGCGAACGCTCATGTCAATCGCTGCCTCGATGGTGATCCGATGCCCCCTCCCGCAACGCCCAAAACATCCCGCATCACTTACACTCTACCACCCACTTCAGAGACATCAAATCCGCATGCGCCCCTCAAGTTTCAGACTTCCAATAAACAAGCATCCGCATTTACGAAGATCATGTCCAACAATACCAAAGAGCACGCCTGGGCATCCGCTGCTAAAACTGAAGCGGAATCGAAGGGCAAGAGGGCGATTGAGCGTACCTGTCCTTTCTACAAGATCCTCTTCAACGGACCAATTACCGTCGACGCATTTCGGTACGGCAAGATTCCCGGCTGCAACGCTTATTTCCTCTCGCACTTTCATTCGGATCACTATGTCGGCCTTTCTTCCACCTGGCAACATGGTCCTATCTACTGCTCCCGGGTCACCGCAAATCTAGTGCGCTCGAGACTGAAGGTCGATCCGCAGTGGGTTGTCGAACTCCCATGGGAAGAGTGGCTTGAAGTGCCAGGAGTCGATGGGGTGAGAGTCCGAGGTCTCGACGCCAACCATTGTCCTGGGAGTATGCTCTTCCTATTTGAGAATCTTAAAGGCAAAAAGCCGATCAGGGTCTTGCATTGCGGAGATTTCCGGGCAGAACCGAAACACCTCGACCACCCGCTTCTCCGCCCTGGAAAGAACCGCACACAGAAGATTGATACAGTGTATCTCGACACCACCTACCTCGATCCCAAGTACGCGTTTCCAACCCAGAAGAACGTTATCGATGCGTGTGCCGAAATGTGTGTCCTCCTCGACAGCGACCAGGTACCCGATATGAAGGACTCTGGGAGCCTAGCCAACTTTGTTACGAAAGCTACTGAGATCAAGAAGGAGTCTGAAGCCACGCGGTCGAAGCGTCGGCTCTTGATCATGGTGGGAACGTACTCCATCGGCAAGGAACGAATTGCCACCGGTTCGTACCCACATCTCCCAGTTCTAAACATTTCACTGACTATTCCACACAGGCATCGCTCATGCGCTCAACTCCAAAATTTACGCACCACCAAACAAGCTCTTTACTCTCCAACAGCTCGAAGACCCCACCCTCACACGCCTCCTAACCTCTGACCCATCAGCCGCACAAGTGCACCTAACACCTCTCGGCTCCGTCGACCCAACAACGCTATCCACATACCTCTCTCAGCACCCCTCCTTCGCACGCATCGTTGCCTTCCGTCCCTCAGGCTGGAGCTACAAACCGCCCACCTCGCGCCTTACCACATCTCCCAAACTCGATGACGTATTATTCTCACCCACCTGGAAGAGCGCGTATTCAATCAAGGATATGGCGCCTGTCCGAGGCGGCAGCGATAAAGTTCGCTGTTACGGAGTGCCATACAGTGAACACAGCAGCTTCCGGGAACTATGCATGTTCTGCTGTGCGTTGGATATTGGAAGAATAATCCCCACCGTCAATGTGGGCTCTAAGAAGGCCCGCGAGCGGATGGAGGGATGGATTCAGAAGTGGGATACCGCGAGGAAAAGGGGATTGTTTTCGCTTGGAGAGGGAGGAGGAGGAGAAAGCTGGTAGTTATATTTCTGCTTACCCCTACATTTGCATTTGGTCCTGGCGTTGTGGTTTGGCGGAATGGAAGGTTATGCTGCGTCTGTAAGTTGGCATAGTCTTTGCGGTTGGCATCAGAATCTGTAAATCTGATGGCTGTTTCTCGTTGCCAAAGGCGCGTGTGTATTCACAATATATTACATTATCATTACATCCTCCTCTCCCTCTTCCCATCTTCAGCAGATATCTTTAAACAGCGCCACCGACGGATCACTACCTCCCCGTTAGCACGACTCATCAACATCTCAGCGGCAGGAGGGACTTACTGATCGCTAACCTCAACCGCACCATGGGTATTAACATGCACATGCTCAAGCGCCTTAACCTTCTTACTAAGCGCCTTGCTCACCAGGATATGATCCAGCTGCTGCGAGTTCATGTCATACAGGTAAGTGTACCTCTCCTCCTTCTTGATGCCAGCGACCACATCCAGATCGTACATGACCTCCTCCAGCAGCTCCTGCGGGGCCACACCCGAGAACTCGTTGAAATCGCCCGCGGCAATGATGTGCGCGTCGGCATTGACGGCCAGGATCGAGGCGATGAAGGGTTTCATTGCCGCGGCCTGCGCGAGACGGTCTTCGATGCCACCGTTGATCGGCGGGCGGCTGTCGCCGTGGAGGGAGCTGGAGCCGCCCTTGGAGCCGGAGTGCACGTTGATGGCGTACAGAGGCTTCTTGGAGCTCTTGATGGTGAAGCAGGCGACGAGGGGCTTGCGCGAGGAGGTGAATGCCACGTTGGTGGGGTCGATGCGGCCGGGATTGTAGGTCAGTGCGCCGGAGGGGAGGATGGCAGTGCCGGCGGTGGCGTTGCCGGCGGTGCCCGGGGTGAGCGAAAGGACCGTGGGGTTATAAAGGTATGCTACACGGATGTTTCCGCCGGGTGCGCCGCCGTCCTTGCCGTTCTCCGGGGCGATCTCGACGGAGGAGTAGGTTATTCCAGAGAGTGCGGCTACTTCGGCGGAGAGCGCAGCAAGTGTCTCGTTTGCGGAGGTGATGCCGGCGTTGATGGTGCCGTCGTTGTCTTGAACTTCCTGCACAAAGAGGAGATCGGGTGTCTTGAGGTAGTCCACGATGTGGGCAGCCAGCGCGGGGAGGTGTGAGGACTTTGGCGTCAGGTTCTCGACGTTGTATTGGCCGATGGTGATGCCTTTGCAGGAGCCCTTGGAGACGAGGGTGGTAGGGGGGACGACGCCGGAGCTGGCGGAGGTGACCGTGATGGCGGTCTTGGGAAGGATCCGGTAGAAGCCGAAGGCGTAAGTTACGACGCCTTCGATCGGGCCGAGGACATCGCCGAGTTTTACGTCGACGTTATTGGTGCCGTCCAGCGGGTCGCCGATGAGAATGGCTTCGGGGTTTGCGTCGGAGGTAGAGGAGTCTGGATGTTGTCAGTCTTGTCTCTCTGAGGGGATTGTGAACGGTACACACCGGTGGTAATGGTCAAGCCTCCGGCCTTGTTGAGGCCGGTGACTTTCCAGTCGCCGCGGACCCATACATCGCCATAGTTGCTATTGGTGCCCAGCGCCACGGGTGCAGTGATTTGCACGTACGATCCGACCAAGCTCTCCCAGAAATCCAGGCCGTACTTGGTCGGCGTAAGAGTAGCATTGGTGGTGGAAAGCAGACTCGCGCCATTGGGAAGACCGAAGATGTCGCCATTGTCCAAGGCCGAGTACTGCGTAGTGGGAGGAGACAGTCCCGTCTTTCCTAGGATAATCGGCGTCACTGTGTTGCCCGAGGAGACCTTGACGATGTTGGTGGGGTTTATGATCTCTGTTAGGTAGATATATGCCGAAGAGGAGCGGTACTCGGTGACCCTGGAGTCCCCGATGGTGACGATGTCGCCCGAGACTACGGTCTTTGCCGCGGTGGAGTTGAACACATAGATTCCCGAGGACAGAAAGCTCTTCTTTCCGAACTTGGCTGAGTTGCTAGGAGCCACGTCTTGAAGGTAGAAGCCAGCGGATCCGACGGCGGTCACCAGGCCGGTAACATTGGAGATGGCTTTTCCGTTGTATGGAGAAAGCCACGCGGGACCGTTGACTTCGGCGATTGATAATGCGGCAGCAGAGGCCAGGTAGGTAGCGAGTGTGGAGAGAACGTAGGACTTCATAGCAACAACAGTCTTCGTTCCGATTGGGATATGGCTGCTACCGAATCCATAGGAGAGGAGAGATGCCCGTGGTTTTATGAAGAAACCGGGCTCGGTGGCCGTAGGGCATTGCACAATCACGCAAGTGGGAATCGATTGGGACCCAGCTACAGAGCACACCAGAGTTCCAGATGAAACGATTTCCAAGTCGTAGGCATCGTACCAAATTTCCCCCGCATGACCAACAAGCAATCAGAACTCGGGATATCTGATTGAATTCACCCCGCGCGAGCACGTGTTGACGTTCTCTCGTGGTTCCTATCTCACAGGGGATAGAGCAGGTACCGGTATCGAGCCGGGATGCAGTACCCCAGACATCATGTAGGAACCATCTAGATTTCACGATCAACTCCCAGATATGGATTGGCTCGGCACGTTGCGCGGAAGAATTGCTGTAACTGCGGGCGATCCGATACCGATATCTTCATGCGCAGGCACCAAAGCTCCTGCCCGTTGCATAGTGTAACCGCGCAACTGCCAAAACCGGGATAAGTGGCGGATAGTGGACGGTCGGAGTCGACCAATAAGAAGCGACGAGCGGTATCTCGTGCCTGGACCAGCGTCGGCGAGGAAGGTCGTGTACATAGCGGGCGGCGGAGAGCGGAGAACTGCGACAGCCGTGGTTGGGCAAGCAGAACTACTCCACTTTTCTTCTGCCGGGTAATTAGGCAGTCTAGCCGTCAAGATGACTAACTCTCTTAAGATAGTCAGATCAATCCGAAGTTGCGTCGTACAGTACCTAACCTTAGATAAGCGTTCGATTTTGGTGCAGCTCGCTTGAATTTCTTCTCTCTCGGACAGAGAGAAAAGGCAGATGGAATATAGAGTATCAAAAGCATTCTCTCATGACCCATGACAACGATCAATTCACGTATGGCGTGGGAGTCTTGTGTAAATATGTTGTTCTCTGCTCAAAAGTATCATACGGACAAGATTTGCGAGCCATCCACGTCTGATATGCCTATTGTATTCATCTATGGGTGTAAACCTAGATATCAGTAAGTATATCCTATCTCTTGTACATATACTTTGCTTGTGGTTACATACGACCGTGTAAGTGTGATGTGGAAATCCTGGATATCGTTGTAATATGGAGTCATTCTTTGCGTAGCCGTTGCGTAGGCGGTTACTTGGTCATGACGACGGCGGGGGGCACTGGCCACCTATCAGCCTTCATATATGTCCTCTCTCGAGGCCTTCAGACTTCTTTCTACTCAATATTCATTCATACTTTCCAACAAGTTATGATGATGTACGGGCAAGTGATCGGTTATGACTGGACACACACTACATGCTGACGGTTCCGAAACCCCCGCTCTCAGCGGAGCAGAAATGAATTCTGACTTTCCGGTCACTATTGCGATGTCCCTTAACACCGTTGCCCCAGACGACTCTGAAGTTGAGGACTTCGATAACGAAGAAGAAGAGGACCAAGACGAGGACGCAGTCAGCCCATCTTTTCCACGCACCACAGGAAGAAGACGCAGAAGATTCCGACAACGATCCGGAAAAATACTGGACTTATACTATGCGCAGTACCAGTACCTGGAATCGAAGAGACCACACACTTCCCGTTGTAGCCATTGGTACTGCGCATAGTATAAGTCCAGTATTTTTCCGGATCGTTGTCCGAATCTTCTACGTCTTCCTGTGGTGCGTGGAACGATGGGCTAAGCGCGTACTCGTCTTGGTCCTCTTCTTCTTCAATCTGAGTCCTCAACTTCAGAGTCGTCTGGGGCAACGGTGTTAAGGGACATCGCAATAGTGACCGGAAAGTCAGAATTCATTTCTGCTCCGCTGAGAGTGGGGGTTTCGGAACCGTCAGCATGTAGTGTTTGTGTCCAGTCTCTAACTATCAATGGCGACTGAGACATCCCTGGGGGGTGGAGGACATCGCCATCGTGCTCGGTGAAGAGTATGTACAATTGCTGTATTGCAGTGGAGTTTCGGATAGGCAGGGCGTTTCCGGTTTTTTCGCCGGCAAAGACCTTAAGTGCGAGTATCGCCTGAGAGGATTGCCGAACTGCGTGGCTTCCAAATGTCGTAGTTGTCTAAGGAAAGTTTCTCGATGGATCCGTAGCAACCAAAGGTTTATCCGCAGGAGGTGGGTTATAAGTTGTTTGAATAGTATGGTAGCTATGGAAGGATATTCTGATTAAGGCGCTGGTCCGGGCTCATAACCTATTGGAATGTGTGAACAAGTATTGTATTGTTTGGGTCTGAAAGCCTCGAGAGAAGACAGGAAAGAGGGGTGGTAGGCGGCCAGTGCTTCCCGCCGTCATGACCGCGTAAGCGACCAACGTGTGAGATGTTACAACCGCTGCCTGTGACGTTACGAGTGACACCTTGTGAGCATTAGTGCTTCATGTCCTTTGACTGGATCACTGGTTATTCCAGAGCTTCAAATCGTCCCGTCGCTGACCTGATTGTCTTTAGACCATCATATTAACGATCTCTTGATGCCTCCATAGACGCTTTTGGAGGTCACGGTCATGGGAGTGATGCCCCTTACGTAACCTTTCCATTCCTCCCCTTCCTGTTGGATGTGAGCTGCATATTCTGATGCGGGAATGAGGCATAGACGTTTGACAGCTGCATGCGTTGGTTATGCCAGGGCGGATCGGGAGGATGAGGCAGGTCTATATTCAGTTTCGGTTGAGCAAAGTTCAAACAGCAGGAGTTCTCGTTGGTCGTGTAGGATGGTATCTATGTGCAGCCCTCTGATTGTCACGACCGGTTCCGGTCGAGTACGGAACGATGAAACAACAAAGATAGTGAGCGTACTGAGGCGGGTAGTGGAGACGGGTGGCCCATCGAATGACTAAACAACAAAGTGCAGCACACTGATCGTCCCACGTAACTCTAACCAATGAGGGATTCTAGGCCCTTTTCCCTAACTAAACCCTGTGCCGTTGCACTCGCTAACCGCCCTTGCAGGGCTGCAGTGACCAGGCGGGACTCGGTATCACCTCAAAAGAGAGCTACTCAAGCCGGCCCACGCGCAACACCGCCAAGAATCGATCTACAAAGTCTCGCCATGATCTACGGCACTCATTCAGTTGCACTGTGCAGGGCTTCTTCTCTGGCTGTCCCTTCCAAAGTGCGTTTTCTGTTACATAGCAACGGCCCGATCAACGCTCGGATAAAGGAAAGTGAAATTTCATGCCGATATCGGCCTAGGTGCCAGCCCTATCACAATTGCAACCTCCACCTTCTCACCATCACCACGACCACCACCGCCATTCCCATTCCCATCCCCACCAGTGTTCCCAGTATTCCCACGCCAACTCGCCAGCGTACAGTTCGACGAAGACATATCACCCTGACTTTTCCCGCTCTCCCGATCACCGGTCGTCGTCCTCTCTCCGGAGACGTAGCTCGCCAACTCCCCGGCCGCCGTCGGTGCAGGCGACGTATTCGTTTTCCGCCGCCACAGGCTCCGCAGCGATGGTAAGCAGAAGGCAATGCTGGCTGTGCAGTACTCCACGGCGTTCCAGACTTCGATTGTCTCGTTGAGTGCGATGGCTTCGTATATATCATCCGCAAGGATGTAGCGCCGGATGAACAGGTACCGGACGAAGGAGGCGAGGATGGAGATGCCGCCGACGAAGTAGACGAAGCAGAGTGACCACCAGGCTACGGTGCCTAGACGAATCTCGCGGAGGACCATGAGGGGAACAATGAGCACTTGTTACACACTTCGTCAGTTGAGGCACAGGTGACGGCGGAGGAGGAAGACGTACATGCAATGTCCGAAATCATGTTGACGGTCGTCATCCACGACATGCACGGAACGTTGAGAGGAAGGCAGTACAGTGCGTGGAGGCTTATACTCCCCACGAAAGCGAGAAAGACGATGACCACGGTCATCCACAGTACGCCCCTTGCCCACCTGTTGCAGTAGGGCACTATACGGAAGTACGTGGACAGGAACGCGGTCTTTATGAACCACAGCGTGAACACATACCAGTATCCCCCGAGCCGGAAGAACTATCGGGCCGTTAACATCGGAGTGCGCGGCATTAGGAGGAGAGCAGACGCACCGTTGATGTGGGATCCACTTGCACTGGTGACAGACCAACTGGGTTCACCAGCCATTTCAGCAACTGAACGCGTGCGCGTGTATTGACGATCGTCCATGTAAGAATGAAGAGGTTTCCGAGCACAAGGGCGACATTCCCGACAAGGTATGTTTTCGGGAGTGGATCGAGTTTGAGACGACGTTGGTGGTGGAATCTGAGGCCAGTGATAACCAGGACCAGACAGGTTAATGTGATGTCGAGGGCGATGTAACCGCTGATTTTGTGTGTCCACTGCATTTTTGATGCTTCTTCGCTTGTTTGAAGGATGAGAAGATGGCCAGCCTTCAACCCAGGGACCGTATGAACATAATACCTCGACTCTCAATTTGCGGCAGGCAGCATGTTGGAGTCAACGCACGCGGCCTCCTGCGATGTGGGGGGCTGGGGGGAAGTCCATAAGTATTTCCCATGTGGACGGCGACAAAGGGCCCAGGGGTGATAACAACAAAGAAGAAGAAGCAAAACCATACCCCGCTGCTTGCATCACGCGTGAGGCAGTGATTTTGCCGGGTCGGGAGATGACCGAGAAAACAAACCGCACGGCTCGCAAGCTCACACGACAAAGGTGAAACTTGTCAGCCAGAATTTCAAAGTAATGGCATTTTATCACCAATCTCATCAACGATGAGAAGTGCTTCGCTAATCTGCTAGGCAGTAGGCTGATACTACAGCATAGTTACTCTTGTGCAGATGTGATATATCGTGATCACCATCGTTCTAGGCCGCTGCGCAAGCTCGCGGCACAAAGCAAAGCCCCGTATTTTGGAACACTGCCATGCACAGGATGGAGATTCGCATCCAGCATTGGCCCCTATAAATGGAACGTGGGGGAGTGGGGTATTCCGGACGGGGCAGTTTATCGATTTCAGCTCGTAAATAACTGTATGCACCCCACGGCAAGGTTCGCTTAGCTCGCTTCTTCCCGCGTACCACTGGGCTGGCTACGCAAGCATGACACGACGGATTTTGACGAAGAAGGCATTGATTCGGCGAGAGCCATCAGTCCAGACTCCAGAGCACGCAAAGACATGTGGGAGTAACGTTTTCCCCCCAAGCTTCCGATTCTCGCTTGTAATAGCTGGGAAAAGGCAAGGCTCCTGCGCCTGCTCGTATCGGCTTGCTAAAATTTTAGGCTGAGTGGGCAATCCCGGCGGAACGGATGAACGGGCCCGGGTCCGAAAACGATTGCTCCGGAACGGGGAGATCAACGAGGCTTTAACTCCATGTCCCGAGCTTCTTCAAGGAGAACTGGGAGCATTTCCGGCAGAGAACACGTTGTTTTCATATTTACCAGGAAATGGGGTCGAACTACCCGGGAGGGACCCTATGAAATGTTGGTGCTCACCCGTCCCAGGTCATTACCGGTGCAGTTAATACCTGACTTGTAATTTCTCAGAGGCGTGTTTGCCATGCTTCCCTAAAGTGGTGCAATAATGCGAACCATTTGCATGCATATCTACATACCTCTGGGCTCGATTCTGCCGCAGAGACGCTTCCAGGTCGTTCGAAAAACTGCCGTCAAATGTCGGGAAATAATAAACAATGAGCGATGTCGGGCCGGACACTGGCTGTGAGGATTGAAGGTATGGTATACCTACATATAGTATATAGCATCCTCTCTCCGGATGAAGTTGATATGCAGGGACCTCAGACCTGGGATAACTTTTCTCGTTTCATCGTCTTTGCATCCGGTCAGCTTCGCCACGGAGGGCATTTATTCCAATTCTGACACCCCGAAAGTGCGATATAATTGGGCCTCCTTGGTTCGTTCGTTATGTACAAATGTTCAATCATGCCGTACTCGTATTTAATCGGTAGAGATTAAATATGGCTGCATACACTTTTTCTCCTGTGTATTCTTCCTGCGGTACGGATCACTGTCTCGGTGTGATAACCTCGACTCCCGTGCCCTCCGCCTACCCACTCACCATTCCCCACTCTCCTTAACTCCGTCCAGAAACTCACCGATATCCCAATGCAGACGATATCGTCTCTGACTACGGTGGAGGTGGGTTGGACGGTCCAAAGAATCAGACTGCTGGCTCTGGGTTGATTCAGCGAGTGATTATCCATGTTCACTACCAATTATGAGTAGTAGTCACAGCTTCTCACCCCCACAAACTATCCGATTCCCCCTCAAAACAATCTTCTTGAAAATATTGATTGTACTCTACTCTAACTAGAGCACCTCGACCATATCCGGCCGCGCAATCAGCCGCAACTACCGAAGCTGCTGGAAAGAGCATCCGGGGTTGGGGAGGGTATATGATGTTGGTTAACTATCATAAGTAGTATCATCTTATGCCAGATCCGGATTCGGAACATGAATGCTGGAGCTCGAGCACTGTCTCTCTCAACTCTCAACTATCAACTCTCGGGAACCTGGAGGGGTACCAGCACACTCGCAGCGAGTCAAAGACATGCGACATGCGAAATGCGAAATGCGAATCCGATCGAAATCCCGTTTCGGATACCTAGGGCTCTTGGTCCTTGGATATGTATGCACCTATATAGCGGCGGGGTGGGGTTACGACAGCGGCGGAGGTCAGAGCTGCCTATGTCTCTACCGGGCCTCCCAGCCAGCGAGCTGAAGACAACGTATTCCGCACGGTTGAAGGATCTAACGAGTAACGAAGCCACGGTTGACACCCACCTCCCTTCTCCACGGTACCGCTGGTCCGTTGCACTACTAGGTACATAGTAAATTCCCAACAATCCACGGGATATCGATCGACACTCCGCGCGCGCGAGCGCGCATGTGCATGCCTCGCGAGTCATAAAAGGCCGATGGATGGTGTGGCATGTGCGCGAGAATCGAAGGAAAGGAAAGGAAGGTGCCGGGCGAGCGCGCGCCTTGGGTGCGGAGCGGGAAGGTGAGCAGAGCAGATCAGCGGTGTCCGAGGCTCCGAGTCTCCGAGTTTCCGAGGTACGGTATGAATGATGCATCATAGATATGCATGGTCTCGCCCAGCCTTTGGACTACGGTAGGTAGGTTAGGTATGCATACGTTCGATGGCAGCAAAACACATGCCGCCCGCCCGCTTGGAAGTTTGCTCCAGCCTCCACGTGTCGACATCCATATCCAAAATCCAAATCCAAGTTTCGCACTCCCGATTCCCATTCCCGGTTCTCGATCCCCAATTCCCGGAAAACAGTGCCCACAAAGCCACCAGTATGTACTCTACTATATCCCAAGGAACTTCTTCGGTGGGAGTCGGGCGGAGGGCCAACTAGCCCACTAGGCAGCCAGGGCTCCAGGGCCCCGCTTGGGGGTACTTCGACAGCACGCCCGCGCCATGTGGTCCGTTACAACTCGCAACTTGCGTATGCATTTATCCACCCTCGGTTTCCTCTCGCGTAACTAGATGGATGAATATGGATATGTATGTGGTTTCCTCTCGGCTCCAGCACAGCACCGATGATGGTTCTCCAACCGTACGAGAGATCGCCAGACCGGGACCGGGAACGGGGGAGCTAACCAAGGTAGCGGTTATATAGTAGGAAGTACTCTACATAGATACTCTTGACCACCCCCCGCCCCCGCGGCCCCGCCCCCACCCCCACCCACGCTGGGAGCCTAAGTACAAGTCGGAAGGAGCCAGAGTGCGCGGACCAATTCGGTGCCGCCGAACCGAACCGAATACGCATGGAAAACTGGAGTCTGGTGGTGGGTGCGAGAACTGGTGGGTGCGTGAACTGGTGGGTGCTTGACAGACACTGGACAGCCCGGCGGAAACGCCGGGAGAGGTCTGGATGTCTCGCGCTTGCTTGGACATCAGTAGATACTCTAGATGCTAGGACGAGCACGTGGGGGTACTCTACTCGTACCGGTATGTACTTAGGGGAACACACAAATACCGGTACCGGTAGGTACAGACCTGACTGCGTTGGACCGCAAAGTCGAATCGAAGGGGAGTGAAGGAGAAGGACAAGGAAAGGAAACGGGGGGTATGATGCAGAAAGTTAATAGGAGGAGGAGGAGTAGTGCATCCTCTCAAAGTACCGGTAGGTATCATAGACACTCAATTTCTCTCGGCATTCCGTCCCCCAGGCCGAGTGCAACAGCGCAACAGCGCTCGACAATTCCTGCCGAGAGTTGGAGTCGACGATGGACCTTGAAGATTTCACAAGCTACCACCTACTTGCATGAATTCCCCATCCCCGTAACCATATCTTCTCCCTCGTCGCCTCCTTTCCATGTCTCATAGGTACCTAGGCCTGCGGCTTGCCGGGACTGTTCGAGTCATGTGTGAGCCCTACCGTATCTCTGGGCCCGGCATATGAGAGCCATAACTACTAGAGAGAAGAAGGGCGCGAGGACCGCTCAGAGCATCCGGTTGCCCTTTCGCGCGGATACGCTACGGTACGCTACGGTTCTGTGTCTGTGTCCGTGTCTGTGTCTATGTCTGTCTGTGGCCACAATCTCCCGCTCCCGCTCCCGTTCCTGTGGATGCACATACATACGGTGGATACATACGGTGGATACATACCACAACTTGTTGAACTCGTACATGGGTAACTACCGTATCACAGCAATCCGCCGTTCCACTCCACTCCACTGGAAGGAAGGAAGCGAGAGAGGTGGAGGAGGATGAGGTGGAGGAAGCGAGCGAACGGCAATATGTAGATCGGACAAGATCGAACCGCCACTTGCTACCTGCTACTGGCCTTCACGAGATTCCCATGATCCCATCCTGGCCAGCCGCCATTCAGACTCTAGAGCAGAATAGCGTATGTTACAGTGTCAGCCGTTCATGCAAGTGGCGATTAGTCAGACAGGACATGGCTGACTTCAGCCGTACCGGACACAAACATCCAAGCATGTGTTTCTACACGTGGGATCTTCACTGTTTAAAGATTCATCTTTGAGCTCACGGATTCGAGATGGCTGCCCCTCCCCCCATGGCGGAGAGAGATGATCGATCGATCATCGAGGTATCGTGGTCCGTAGTCCGTGGCAGGTGGGCGGGTGGGTGTGGGGGAGGTGAAAAAGGAAATGGCCATGAAGCATGAAGGGAAGAGGGGACGCTCGTTAACCTACTCTATGTCCACGTGTGTGTGGATTCGTAACTATCGGAGAAGAGCGGGTGTCGTGGTTGTGGGGAGAGGGGCAGCCTGGCAGGAGATTGTGGGGTTTGTTTTTCTCGATGGCGGGGTTTTGTCCTGCTTGTCGTGGATCTGTTTTGTTTTTTTGTATGAAGAGCTGTCTTCTGACGCCAGGCAGAGGGAACCGGAAAGCTTGATTTTGGGTGATCCGTAGATATTAGGCTTGGATTTACACGATGCGGCCAGCTGGAAGCCGCTGCAGGTTTGCCCTCTCGCACCCACTACCACCACTATGAAGCGGATCCTCCACACTCTACTGCACCAGCTCACCCTACATACACACCTACATGCCCACCACCTCACGTGGTTTGGCTCGTCTATACTACCTACTAATACTACTAGTAGTAAGCGATCAACGAGCGAGCGACTGAGGTGTGTGTGTATGGGCTACCGCATATACATACATCTAAAAAACGAGATCAGCATCATGGGGTGGAAATCGAAAAGTGGATGGATGACCACGGAAAGTCGCATATAGTAAAGACGGATTACATAGGTCCAGTGGTCCACGCCCGTCGCCCAAGTTTACGCTCGCGGCAGCATCGTAACTACTATAGGCATGCGCGGTAATGTGGGTGGATGGCCTCATAGGTAGATGGATGGTCTCATAGATGGATGGTCTCATGGATGGGTGCGTGGATGGATGCGTGAATGCGAACGGACTGACGGCGGAAGCCGCTACCTCGCTCGGGCGAGAATCACAGAATCACTGGTTGGGTTTTTCGTATTCGCACTCGTTCCGTTCTCCGTTTTCCCTTCTGGTACATTCATGCGTAAATAAGAACTTAGATAGGTAGTGGTAGGTAGTGGTAGGTAGTTGTAGGTAGTTGTAGGTAGTGGTAGGTACCTACGGTATGAGGGTACCGTACCGTACAGCGCCGAGGCTGCTGGGCTGGCCCTGCGCGCCTGTCGGCCGCCGACCGCCAGCGTTTGCCTACCGAGAAACGTACCTAGAAGCCGCGGCTGGCTACTAATTAGTAGGAACTGGATCGGGTCTATGGGTTAAAATCTTATATACAGTAGAGTATGATACCCAGATATTACGAGGAAGGTACCTATCCCACCTTCCCGGCCAGATCAGATCGAATGGGGAATTCTCTCGTTCGGTTCGCCTGGTGGTAGGTATTTTGATGGCATGCGAAACACTCATCTTTTGAAACCTGCAGCGCTGTCTGGTAGCGACTGCTAACAGGTATGTACCTAATTGCCATGGTTATCGCACGCTACCTACCGTAACTATTGCGATGGAGTGGATCATAGGTATCATATCTATCCTCGGACTAAGCAAGTAGGAACTGCCGGCTTGCCTCTTGCCTCTTGCTTCTTGCCTCTTGGGGTTTCGGCCACCTGAACCTGAACCTCGAGTTCTGGATCTCGGGATTCGACCACGTTCCTATCCTACCGGTATCCTATCTCACCCGAAACGGTGCATGGACGAGTGCAAGCCAGGTGCTGCCTAGTTGGTTGGTTGGTTGGTTGGTTATGTGGCTATGCAAATGCACCAGCTTTGTCGGTGCATGTTGGCCATACAGCGGTAGAGTCATGGAGGGAGGGTATGTATCTCGGCCATGGTTACATACGAGACAAGACAAGACAAGACCCCTCAAACCAGCAGATCTGTGGGTATAGTATGGTATGCACGAACGGCGTAACTACTTGGATAGCAGTACCATGTAGTATGCACATAATCTCAAGAAACATGGTAAAGTGGGCGGCAGCGGTCGTGGTTGATGCGGGATTTCCACGGGCGCACACGAGTCACGGTTCTTCTTCTTCTTCTTCTCCTCGCTGGCTGGCTGTCCTGTCGTTGGTTGGTTGGTTGGTTGGTTGGTTGGTTGGTTGGTTGGTTGGTTGGTGCCGACTCCGAGTGGCTGAGTGACCGCAGGCCCGCAGTTGCCTTGGCCCCGCCGCCACTTCTGCGCGGTATGCTATGTAGAGTTTGTATGTATGTGCCTACTTTAGAGTTAAAGCTCCGCGAACAGCCACGTTGCTTGTCACTTGCCTCATGGACGGGAACCCTTGCTAGTTATGAACTCGCAGCTGTCGAGAGGAGTAAGGCCGCACGCATCCCTGTAACTTCGTATAGAGTGTGCGCTGTGTAGTGCACATATGTACCGTATGGTTGTTGCGGCATTGCGCGACACGGCTACTGCTACTGCCGCAGCGGCGTTGATGACGGCGGCGGCGGCAGTGATGACGGCGGCCGCGAGAGGATGGGTGCTGGTACCGGTATGTATCGTCCGGCGTGGATACCTATGCGACGGTTGGTTAGCCTCCACTGCTGTTGGAGTAGGTACATAAGCAAGTACTTGGGTAGGTGGGTAAGTACTTGCCCAGGTATCTTGCAGAAAACCCAGGGCCGGAGACTTGCAACCTGCTCGGGCATCATTGTCCCTCTTCTTCACCCGCATTCGGCCGTGGCCGTGGACTGGTCAGTTACGTGGTAACAAGTACAATACGTACCACCGTATCGTACCCGGTAATAACCCGCTGGACTTGGAAGTTGTCGGGCTATGCCCGACAGTCCGACAGTCCAAGCAACTGCACACGGTGCGACCCCAGCTGCATGCGAGAACCCGTCCTTCAAACACGGTGCCGGCCGGCCGCCGGATGCGGCGTCTGGATACCGTAGTTAGCTGGACCGCCGGAACTCGAGGTCTCGAAGGGTATGATATCGTCAGCAGTTCTGGATGTAGGTACCTGGCAGCGAGATGGGGGAGAGCCCGGAGGGGGGGCGCGCGGCCGCGGATGCAAACGACACCCACCCACCCACCCACCCCCCACAGCAGCCGCAGCAGCCTCCCGTTCTGTGGGCCTGTGGCCACCGGATTGACACGGGGATCGGTGGGAACGAGTAGAATAGTAGTAGCCGTACTCGAGAGAACGGACGGACGGCGTTCGATCGATCCTGAGGCTTCAATGTATGGCTCAAGCTAAGTTAAGCTCGCAACAGTGCATCGTGTAGATCATGCACACAGAGTACTGTACACGATCCACTCCGTCCACTGCATAGACGACTATACACGATCCACGTCGTCCATCGTGGGACTCCTTACCAAACTCTGGTCGTAAGCAAATCGTGACCAGTCTCCAACATCGATCGAACGCACGTACGCACGCCCGGACATCTCAAGAATCGGACACCGCCGGAAAACGTGGCACAGCGGGAGCGGGTGGGGGGCATCGACGATGACCCTCGTGTGAGACCAGCAAGCGAGCCAGCATGTTCCGACCAACCATACCGGTACATTAGGTAAATACCATCTCGACGGATCTCCGGGGGTAAGTGATTGTGAATCTCGTCGTCGATCGTTTGCGGATTCCATTCCATTCACATTCGAATTCGGCGGACTACGGTACTAGCTCTCGCACGTTGTTTCGGCGGCGGAAGCGAAAGTGAAAGCGGCGAACGTTGTTGCTCGCACGCGTCCGGCCGTGACCAGCGGAGAGGAAAGCCACAGAGCCTAGAGGAACCACACATCTCGTCCTACCCTCTCGGTTCTGGTTCTTTTCTTTGCAACATAGATCTCGGGAGAATGTGCTGCGGCAGTTCGGGTCGCAACAGCTTTTTCTCCGATCCTTTACTGCATTGTACATATTATGATAGTCTGGTAGTGTGGGATTCGGGGGGCCGGACCCGATTCGGTCGCCTCAATGTTGAGATGTTCTCTGTTGCTGCTTCTATGATCGCCTACCTAGTCGGCCAGTCTGTTGTTCTGAAGACACGAGACATCAGACATTATCACCACCATCAGGTATTATTAGGACCCGTTTGGATACGCTCACTTTTCAGTTCCAATTTTAGAGCCAAATTCAGTTCCTGAAAAAACTGACAGTTTTCGCTAACTAGTCCTCTCCGTCGTTGCATGCGGCCGCCCTGCGCTTCTCGATGCCGGCGGTCTTCCTCTTCCTCAGCTTGGCGAGCACGGAGGCGATGGCTGTGCCGACTGACTGGCTGGCTGACTGGCTGGCTGGCTGGCTGGCTGGCTGGCTGGCCGGCCGAACCAAGCGGGACTCAGCCCGTTCGGTCGCTCGGGCCATGCCATCCGTCACAATTCACGACTGCGCACCGTTCGGAACTCGGACACTTGGCGTAAGGCGGCGTTTTAAACGGTGACGGGCTCCAGTAGAGCACCTACTGTACAATACATACGACCCTCTCGCCTGATGGGCAATCCATTCCGCCATTCTCGCTTAGTGTTCGCCACCGCTATTCACCGTTCACCATTCGCCGTTCGCCGTTCCCCGTTCCCCGTTCACCATCGATATCCGTCACCGCCGTCTCGTGCAACAGCGCACAGCACAGCAGCGCTGCCCGTCTTCCCGTCTGCCTACATACCGTACCCACTTACCATATGTACCTGGTTTGCGTGTGTTGTGTGGCATAACTAACTCTCGTGATGTGGCCGAACTCTTGTCTTGTGGCACAACTCTTGGCTTGTGGCGGAACTCTTGCCTTGACCATGGCATAACTTTTGTCTTACTATGGCGCAGCTCTTGTCTGGTGGGCTGGTGATTCCAGAAGAGTCCAAGATGACTATGCACCTGTGTATGCACATATTCGCCTCGTACCTACCGTACTTACTTGCCTATCCCCGGTCTCAGCTGCTCTGCCTAGAGTAGATATCGTACTCTCCGCGGTGCCAGTGCCTGGATATACGCACCCACAGCTCGTGCCCAGCTACGGCGAGAGTGGTGAGCGTTTCTTACCGCATATCGGTGCCCATCAGCCTGCGTCGTCCTTTCCTCCGTCTCGTCGCCCCGCGCCTCCCCTTTTCCGCTTCATCCTCCGCTGTCTCCGCCGCCGTCCGTCCTTGTTGTGTCCGCCTGCCTGCCGGACATTATTATTATCCGTGCGTCCATAGGCACTCGCGATACCGTACATACCGACTACATACAGAGCTACTTACGCTCTCGGCAGACTCCCATTAGTTGGTTAGTTGGGTGGAATCCGCGCACCCGCACCCGCACCTGCACCTGCACCCCTCCTCCTCTTCCCTCCCTCGCCCTCGTCTTCGCCCATGCAAAGAAAGTCCTAGGACAAGGGAGCCCCCCCTCCCCCCCTCCAGAAGCGCGTTCTCCACGAGGGATCCCTAGACACCACCTACTCTACTTTACTCCACATACCTTGCCTGGAAAGCCCCTCCCCCGACTCGCTCTATTCCACCCGCATTGGAGCGGAGAGAGACACATCCACTCCATCCACTCCATCTGCCTACTCTGCACACACGCAGACGTCGTTAATCAACAACACCACCACCACCTGCCCTGATCCACCGACTCACCTACTTTACCTACATCTTACTTACTCACTTCCTTACTCACCTACCTCTTGCTCTACCCCATATCCACATACCACTACTCTACTTTGCCCTCTTCTTCGCCCCCAAAGTCCCAGGCACTTAACCTCCCTTGGCCCCCCTACATACCGGGTACCACAAGCCTTCTCCAACAATCACTACTACCATACTACCAAAGTACCTACCTATCCAAGTACCTATCCCCCTCCAGGGCCAGATCTGCCGACTTACCGGCCTGCTCTCCACATAGCAATAGGCTTTGCACTACCGTACACCACGCTGAGTACATGCCATAAAAAAAGTATCTCCTCCGTTCTCCCCTCCGAATCAAACGCCTACATACCTCCTCCTCCCGCCGGCAACGCTTATTATTATCCTCGTCCTTCACTGTACGCACGTACTCTGGCCATCGTTCGTCTCCCTTCATCTCACCACACTCCCCCTCCCCCACTCATCCTCCCCCCCCCCCCCACCCCGCCCTCTGCTGCTGCTAGTTGCATTTTGCGACTCAATCTTACCTTCCCTTAGTCTCTCCTAGTCGGTCTTTCCTTCCGTCACGCAGGTCTCCTTGAACCGTGTCGAACCTGTGTCCCTCCTTCCGAAGGCAACGCCAACCAACCCGGCGCAACCTCCACTCTTCCATCCAACACACAACTCCATCCAGCCAACCACATTGCGACCCACCTAACGGCTTTTACTGCTCTGCCTTCAGTCGCTCTGCAACCCAACTGACGCCTGCGCCCGCCAGTCGTCCCCCACCATCACCCGACACATCACCCGTAGCGACGTTCTCACGGCCTCACGGCCTCTCCCGTATCTTCTCCTCCTCCCGCGTCGTCGTCCTCTCGCCCTCCCTCCGACCGAAAGCTTTCTGTCCGATTAACTCGCACTGCCCACGGAACGAACTTTAGACGACTTTACCGCAGTCGTCCCCCCCTCCCCCCCCCCCCCCCCCCCCCCCCCCCCACACACACACACCCTCACACACCCCCCCCGTTCGGTTCGATTCAGCCTACACTTGTCGCTCTTTAATTCGATTCAACCGCTTCACATCTGTCGCCCATGATGGCCACTATTAATCCCACTCCGTGGGAGTCCGCGCGCCGACCATCAGTGGGGCCTTCCGGCCAGACCCTTCCTTCGATCGGCAACCTCGCAGGCCTCAATGGTTCGTCGCCTGCAGATGGATCCAGAGACTCGGGGAACTGGTCATTAACATCCTCACAAAGAACAAGCAACAGTAAGTTCCTGCCCTTTTTGCCCCCTCCCCGAATCGTGCTGGGCGTGTCTTGCGCTGGTTTTGGTAGCTTATCGCTGAGACAGTATCCGAAGTCACACTACCACCGATCGATGCCCACACGCGAAATAGCCCCGGGGAGCAACATAACAGCAACCCTTTATACTCACAGACATCTCCCGCGTCCGCTGCTTTCGGTGCATCGACAACGAGCCTTCACAGTACGCACACGACGCCTCCCGGAAACAATCACTACCACCCCCACAATGGAGAACTCCCGACACCTTCACCGTCGGCATCTCGCCGAAGCAGCTTCGACAGCAGACTAGGAAACCTCCAGCTGTCGTCACCCGTCAACGGAACTCCAGCAGCGAGCCAGATCAGCCTCAACAGTACGCTGCTGAACAGCAACAGGGACAGCTTGACTTCGCAGATGCAGCGCGAACGTGGCATCCAGAGCAACTCTCCGTGTCAACCACCGCAACATCTCAGCCACGATAGTTCGAGCCAGCATCCCCCGCACAATCCGTACAGTATGCACTCGGGCCGATCCGGTGTTCCGCGCACGGCACCCCCGATCGTCGGCTCCTCGAGGTACCCTTACGGTCAGGCGTCACATCCCAACGCACCCTCACCGACAAAGGGTCTACCATGGGCCTTCCCGGATCCGGAGATCATCGAGCCGGGACGACCGAGCGATACGGCCACCGCGCGAACGAGTACCAGCTCCCTGGCGGGATCGACGGCGAGCAGCATATACGGGGGATCAGGCTTGGTTACCCCTCACGTGCAACACCAGATGCCGCCCATGATGGGAATGAATGGGAGCATGGGAGGGAATTCACTGCCTCACATCGGGGCGGCGACGCATCACCACGGGTTGACCTCCCGGCGATCGAGCATAATTGGAGAATCCCAGCAACAGACAACGCCCTACTCTCGGACACCGGAGCTTCGTGTAAGCCACAAGCTTGCGGAAAGAAAGCGACGAAAGGAGATGAAGGATCTGTTCGATGAGCTACGGGAATCATTGCCCGCTGAGCGCGGTGGTAAAAGCAGCAAATGGGAGGTCCTGACCAAAGGTTCGTTGCACCTCGTTCATATGAGTACGATGAAGCTCTGCTTCCATGCTACACTCTTTCTTTGGGGAGGGGGGATCCTATACTGACGGATCTGGCTAGCAATCGAATTTGTGAACCATCAGAAAGACGTTATCCAGGACAAGACCCGACAAATAGACGATATGCGGAACCAGATGCAAAGACAGCAGAAGGAATTGGAAGCGGCCCGAGCCGAGGTACATCAAATCAGAGGGATGCAGCAGTGCTCTCCTAGTTATCACTCGCACGCGCCGCAACATTCGCACGATGGAGGCTACCATCCCCAGCAACAGCAACCGAATGGGAACGATGGGGGTTACCATGGACAATCGAATCATGGCAACGGCCCTGTCAAGATGCAGGGACTCGAGTCATGTTAATCGGTGCCCGGGTAGATCAACGCAACGTGTGATCGGTGGCGAAGGTTATCCAGCTTGTCGGTGGCCGACATCAGCATCAATTTCCTGGGAGTATTGCGGGGGGAGTCCAATTGCCGACGGAGCGATCGCGAATCCTTGTTTTTATCTTATCGACCTTCCGGCTTGTTTGATGCTTCTCCTGGACGTTGCATGATGTGTCACCCAAAGCTCTAAGGCTACGGTCATACTTTTTATTTATTTTCCCGCTGCAACCAACCTTTCGTTTTTCTTAGAGGCCGTTTTGGAGTTAGTCTTTTTTTCGTACGGGGTTATCAACCGCACTCAACCTGGGATCAATTTTTCTTTTCATTACGAAGGTGTCTGGGATATGTCGTCGCCGCCAGTCTGGCCTTTCTTCCTTCCCTTTGTGGTCCGGTGGTTTCTCCTTCTGGTTTCTCCTTCTGGTTTCTTCTGGTTCCTTCTTCTGGTTTCACAGTGCTATTCTTTTTCACTCCTTCCTTGGTTGTGCGATGTCAAAAATGAGGTTCACAAGGGTCCCCCCTTGAATATCCACGATTCTCTCCCTCTAACATGAGGCAGGCATCGAAAGATGCCTACAATTTGTCCACCACTCCAAGGAGGGCGGAGTTTGGGTCATCCAAATGGTTCGATTTTGGGTCATCCAAATGGTTCGATTTTGCAGTCGTCTTCGAAATGGGTTCTACTTTGCTGGTACACTGGCTGGCTCTACTTTTCTTTGGTTGCCACTTATTGGTTGCGCGGGCGTGCATCGTTTCCTGGGGAACCTCTCTCTTCATTTCTTTTCCTTAAGTCCACTTAGGTTTCGGGGTTCCGACGGCTTTTTTCTTTCTGGATCTCCTTGCGTCTGTTACGTGTCTTGCCTTGTGCTTTATTATTTTTGCTTTTATCGAAAGGGCAGTTTTGGGGGCAAGGCAAGAGAGGGGATATCATCACATGCATTGCAACTGTGCTTCAACCACGTTTTCTTCATTAACCTTTTCTTTCCTTTTTTGTTTTATTGGATCTACTGTGGGGCGGGTTGGAAAAGGGAACTATTGGATTAACTTTGGCGGTTGGACGGGAATATGCTCTAGTTACTGGGAGAAAATGGGGCTGGGATCTTGTTTTTCTTTTTATTTTTCCATTTTACCTTTTCTCTAAGTACTCTTGTGTACTTGCGTTTCTATTCTTCGTACGATGGCCGGCCGAGTAGGTAGTGGATGAGCGGGGTTAGGAGAATCCTACCATCCCATAAACCCATCAATTGTATTAGTAAAGTAGGTAGTTTGCCAGTTCTCGTTCTCGTTTTACCCATGTGCCCGCACCATGGAAAACGTCATGGTGTGAATGCCACGAGGAAGGGATTCATGGTTCACTGCACGTGGTTTTTGGTTTATCGGCTCTCGTTCGTTCGTTTTGACAAGAAGCGTGGCCGCGCCGCGTGGGTCCGCCCCCCCTCCCCCCCCCCCTCCCCTCCCCCACCGACGACACATCTCGTGGTCAAGGTGTGGTCAAGGTGTGGGGCACAGGCAGGCCCGTACACACCGTACCGTACCGTATTCCATTATTATAGATTCCACTGTCGAGCCAATCACCGATAGAGTACGTACGCATATGGAGTTAGAGTATATAGAGTACATACAGTGCATATGTACAGTCCAATGTGCACAGCTTACGCCGCATGATCGACGGAGCAGCGCTGCGCGGGCACCGAGGATTTTTTTTTCCTTTGGGCTACATAAGACCTGGACCTGGTCGCTCCCTCGCTCGCTCGCTCGCGTGGACGATGGGTAAGTGGACGATGGTTAAGTGGTAAGTGGTAAAGTAAGTGGTAAGTTATGAAGGTGGTTACGACATGATCTTCCCCAGCCCCCCCGCCTGGGTACTGTGGATGTGGCGACCGGGGTTTAGACTTTGGCTAGGTAGCTCCCTCGTATGTAGAGTACTCCAGGCTCTTCCTCGCACTCACACTCTATGTAGGCTCTATGTAGGCTCTACATATGGAGGTCGCACTCGCACTCGCACTCTATGTACCGTACATACTCCTCTCCTACATACTCCTCTCAAGGCTCCACGCCTTGCTGTACGGTAGCCTGTTTATACTTTACTTTACTCTGTTCTATACTTCACACTGTACGCTGTAGGTACGTACAGCAGTAATCTACAGTACAGACTGCAGTACTCTGGCGTCAGAGTGTGGGGTTTATTCCACGTTTCAGTAAGGGACATGTGCATTGTGGATGTGCATTGGTGTTGAGCAGGTATGGGGTACGGTATGGGGATGTGGAAACATAGATGTGGAATAGATGTGGAATAGATGTGCATTACGGATGGATCATGGGGATGGTAGCTGGGTGAGTAGATCTACCCAAGTATCGTGGGAACGTGGCCGCACCACGTTGCTCTGGCCCTTGAATCTTTTAGTTTTTACCTGGGGAGGGCGGGGGAGCTGCGTGATCGCCATGTGTCTCGACGTCTCGGCTCGTCTCGGCTGGCTCGGCTCGGCTTGGCTGGAGTCCAGACGGGAATGTGGCGTGACTATTGCGTCCCGGCGGCGGGTCATGGGCTAGCACTCGACTCGTGATCGTGACGCACTTTATCGACTTGCGGCTTGCGGGATGAAGCGGAACTCGGGAGTGCGGGGAAGGGGGGATTCCGCAGTCGAACCCCACGGTGCGGAGAGGTTGAAATGATTTGTAGTGTAACTAGGTTGCAGTGTCCGGCACTCTGCCCGGCACTCTGTCACATGTATGTACCGGTACATAGGTACATAGGCTCACATGAAGATCATCACTACAACTTACAACTTACGATACCGGTACGCCTTGTCCTAAGGACCTCCTGCGTCGTGCATTGTGCACGCTTCTGACCCATCCGTTTCCATGGTGTGGTGTGTGGTGGGGGATCTCCGTCTACCTGTTAGGTAGGTAGATTGTGCGATGGGCAGCGGGATCGAACGTCAACTGTGGCTATGGAAGTCTTTTCCTTCCTGGTTGGGAAGAGGCTATGTAAAGCTCGCGGACGTTTCCGGGCTCGATCCATCCAACTATCGGTATCTCGGGTCTGTCTCGGTATTGATATTTTATGTAGGAGAAGAAGCCGCGGCCTTTGGCATCGTTTTTTGTGGATGAAATCCCAAGAGGAAGGAAGGAAGGAAAGTATGTGGTGGTACAGGGGTTCGTATTCTACTCTTCATACTGCTACAGTATTTGGTATTCGGAAGCTGCCAATGTTCATACGGTATGAGGTAAGTACATTACGTGTGCCCGCTCACATCCTAATATTAAAGGAAGCTGTAACTGTATCATCATAATATGACCTATCCAACCTAAATACGTTTTTTTTTGGCGTGCCTAGGTAGATAGTTAAAGTTTTCCGACCACGGTATGTCCATTGTCAACACGCATGCAGAAACGTGCGTTCGCTTCAACGGCACACAGGTACTTCATACTAAACTCTGACGGAAACCGTAAAGCTACATATTGTACATACGGAATTGGTTACGCATTATTCCTCGTATGCCATAATAACTCCGATGCGGCTGCAGCTGCCAACCACTGCCTGTCAGGGTCAAGGCTGAATCATCAATTATCACGACGGTCATCAATAGTGTAGAGTATGATACGAAGTCCCCGCAAAATATTACGTCCAGTCGCCATAGCCTAGATATTAGACAGGCTGTAAGCGACAATAAATTGAAATTCTCTCTCTCTCTCAACATTCCCCGTTGCCGGAAGAGGAGTTAAACCAGGCCTGGACCAAGTAGTTCTAGAGAAGGCCGAGAAGCGCCCCAGCATCCAGATTTTGTCAGCTCAAGTCTGGACACGCTCCCACTGGCAAAACATCTTCATTGGACAACGAGCTGACTCGATGCGCGGTAGTTGTGGTGCAACCAAGAAGTGCAATTAGGGGAAGCGCTTCTTCAAGCACTGACTGCAATGCTTGGAGAGAAGAGACAAAAACGCTATGGCAACAGGTTGAGCGGACGACTAGGACGAGTCACGACAGGCACGGAAGGCGTAACGGCCTACAGAACGAGGATGCCAGCACCAACTATTCGCGGATCCGAGGTGTAGCGCGGCAAATCTGGACTTCTTGCGCAACGTTGGATGGTTACTTAGCCTCCAGAGCGGCGGACGACAGGGAGAGTAGCCAGCGACTCAGCGAGCCCTCTGAGGTGGATGGGGAACGGGCAGTAGCGGACCGGGTCGAGGGTATTGAGAGGGGTAAGAGATGAGCAGTGACGATGGCCCGTTCTGGACCGACTGGATGGAGAGGCGGCAGACGGCGGACGGCGGAGGGAAGTGGGCTGCTGCACCGAGTCCGTTATCGGGACCGCAGCAGGATTATGAAGAGCACATCACCATAGTCTGGATAGGCTGCATGCGATCAATGAAGAAACACAAAAAGCAACGCTTTGTGTTTGACGGGTATGAAATTAAATACAAGAATAAGCACGCCATCGAGCCGGTATCCCCTTTTATATCGTACATATGCCGAGAGAATCTACCTCTTCTTCTTGCTCTCTTTCTTCGTTCCCTTGGCCGTCTCCTCCTCCGCCGCAGCAATCAACAGGTTCAGCCTGGCGATCTCCCTGCGGAGCCTTGACACCGCCCTCCACCCCTCGATCCACGAGGTGATGACCCACAGATACCTCCCCTTGCTGTCCCCGCTCCAGTGCTTGTCCAGCAGATCCTTCATTTCATTCACATCCTTACTCCTCTTGATCAGGACACCACAATGCACCGCCACGGCGATGTTGAACCTCCTTTCGGTGGTGAACACGAACTGCTCGACGACTCCGACGCCGAGCAGGTACGCGGCGATGAGTAGCGTGAAGCCCATAAACACCGCGACGCCGCTCCAGTCGCCCCAGTGATTCGGCGGGATGAACCTGTCGACGGGGGCGTCCTTCGTCTCGGTGAACCTCGTGATGCGATCCTTGATCTCCGCGACCCACTTCGCGGTCTCGGTCTCGCTAGCATCGACCGGCAGCACAGGGAGCAGCGGCGCAATCCGGATCGTGTGCGTCTGCTTCAGCGGCAGGTACCAGTACTCGCGCACCGGCTGGAGATAGTAGATGCTGATGCTGTCGGCGGTGAGGGCGACCACGCGCGGCTCCTTAGGCTTGTGCGCCTGCACGTGGCGCTCAAGAACCGTGCCGAGGACCTCTTCGGTGATCGCCGCGGTAACGATGTCTTGCAGGGCGACGGGGAGCTCGTCTTCCTTTTTGGGGGGCGACAGCGGCAGAGGATCGAGCAGGGCGGGCTGCTGGGAGTAGGCGGACATCGTGGAGGGGCCTTGGAGGGGGGGTTCTTCCGTAACGTACGGCGCGTGCGTGCGTGCAAAAAAATAATTCCGTGGGAAAAGTGAAAGTTCTGTTTCCTATTCCTGTTCGCGAGGAATACAGCTTGGTTTTGAGGCACGACCTCGCCACGCGCCAAGTGTGCTCGCGACTACCACGTGCGGAAAGCGCAGTTGTGATTGGCGTCCGCTAGAAACTGTGTCGAGCTAGATGTTTTTTCGTAGCTGAGGACAGTTTGCTTTTTTCTACTCTTTCTATGGCGTTTGCGAAGGAAAGAGGTCGGGCTTTTACGACGAGAAGATTCGACTGGCGTGACGTGGGGCAGGGAGGGGTTTAAATTCATCACACTTGACCTATACTTGCATAACTAAGACCTATCGCAGAGCAAGCGCATTCCGGGGATCCTGTCTGCCGCCGCGACGTGGGGTGGATTCCGATGCCCTCGGCAAAACACGTTACATCGAGTGCTGGCCCATGACAGGATTGGTATATAGCTCACGAGTAACGGTCTTGGACGGGACTTGGAAGTCTGAATGGCCAGACTACCAGCGAGTCTCACCACGCTATTTAGTCTCACGAGGCGGATAGTTGAAATAAGCCTTCAGTGCTCGATTCAAGAGAATTTAGTGGTCAAATTCCCAAGCCGTACATACCACTTTCCAAGCCAGGCAACTTTCCATTCTTATCCGTGGATGCTCCTATGAAGCTAGAGTCGCTATTCATGTTGGTCCAGAATCTCAAGCCTCAGAGTTCACCGGACATGGCCAGAAACAACGATATCTACGCAGGAAGCGAAGCTGCTCAGTGGAGTGGAATGGAAGATTGAAATGCAGAGAGAGTATCCGGCTCAAAACCCATCGTCTCGTCCATCATCGTCCGCAATGACCATCTCAACTCTCAACCTCTGGACCAACGCCTCCAACTCCCCAAACTCCCTCACCTTCGCTCCCTTCCGCTCCAGCAGCCCCTTAACCATATCATACTCCCTCGCCCTGGCCTGACTCCTACACATGACCTTCCTTCCCACCGCCACACCCATAGCACAATCTCTGCCCCTCTCATCCTCCGCGCGCGGGTTCGCCCCAAATTCGAGCAACAACCTCACCGCCTCGGCCCTACCCATTCTCGCCGCCAAATGCAACGGCGTCCTCCTCGTGAGATCTAAATCCCCAACTTTCGCGCCACCCGCGAGCAACATGGCGCACACATGCTCGTACCCTGCCTCCGCGGCAAGATGCAACGCCGTCATCTCCTCGCCCAGCGTCCGCTGCTGCGCACTCACCCCGTATCGCAGCATCGCATCAATAACCATCGCATGCCCACCCTTCGCCGCAACATGCAGCGCCGTCAACCCCGCATGATTCCTCGCCTCCGACCCCGCGCCCTTCTCGAGCATCACCCGCACCGCCGCAGTATACCCATACTCGGCTGCGCAGTGCAGCGGGGTGAGATCGTAATCCGCCACCGCATCAACGTTCGCGCCGTGCGCTAGGAGCAGGCGGATATTCTCCTCCCGCCCCGAGGCGGCAGCGTAGTGCAGCGGCGTGCTCTTGTTCTTGTTTTCGGCGTTGACGTCGGCCCCCGCGCTGAGCAGCTGCGTTATCACCGACTGGCTCTCGAAGATCGCGGCATAGTGCAGTGCGGTGCTGTCGGCTTTGGTACGCGCGTCGACGGGTATGTGCAGCGAGAGGGCGAGCGCGCAGAGTGAGGGGTTGCGGCGCGCGGCGGCGAGGTGGAGGGGCGTTTCGAGTTGGCTGGTGAGGTGCGTTGGGAGGCTGCGCGCGAGTTCGGTTTGGAGGAGGGAGTGCAAGTGGGTGGAGGTGAGGATTAGTGCGCCGAGACTGCCGGCGGGCAGGAAGGAAGCAATGAGGAGGATCAGTTCGCCGGGAAGAGTGGGAAGAGACATCGTGGTGTTTCTTCTGATAAGGTTGTAGTGGGGATTTGGGTATTGTATTGCAGTTATCTCGGAGATAGGCGGAGGTATGTAGATGGGAATGCGGAGTGCAGAATACGTCACCTAACGTCATGGATATTGTGGCGAGAATATGGCCGGCCTGACTGTTGTTCGGGCCGTGAGTGTTTTATGGCAGTGAGCTTGGATTCATCATAGAATAGGGCCTGTCAGCCAATATGTTGCCAAACGGAAATGTCTCCAACGCGGTGCTGTTCCGTGAGAATTCGAGCTTCCATTGAACGATCCGGCAAGGCTGGGACCTGAAGACCCTGTGACCAACGATGATGCCATCCAAAGGAATACCTCATGTGGCCTAAAGCGCCAGGACGCCAGTGACGAAAAGGCCCAAGAAGCTGAAGATCGAAGCAAAGGAGATCACAGAGCACGCACGGGGAAGGTAGTGCGGGCACATACCCACGGCAAGTTCCCCCGACTTGCATCTGCTCGGTTAGCCGGTAGGGAGCATGTACATAGGAGAGCCGCACGATCCACGGCCACCAATACCTTGCCGAGGCACATGCCAGACCTGTAGTACTCTACAGCACACCGACCACCGACCACCACCAACGCGAACTTTCATCCTCCCCGAATCCCAATCCATTGCTTCTCCATGCTCCGATAGCTCACACGCGTATACTCGATCACCACTCAGCTCATACTCGCACAACATGTCCTCCGCAATGGCGCTCCCCTCGACCGCCGCACGCTCTTCCTCTCCATTGCCACCCGCAGCCAAAAAAGCTCCATCGGTAGCTCTCCAAAAACGACCCAAGAACCGTTCCCCAACCGTTGCCCGCTTCATAGTCGACGAGCTGCGTGGAGACGCCGGATTTGTCTCGGAGGACATCTGGCGCGACGTGTTTGGTTTCCAGAAGAAGGCGGTGGTGGCGGACAGGAAGCTGGAAGATATCGACCTCAATGGTACGCGACGGTGGTGGTGTTATTGTTGATGCGTGAAGGAGGGGTAGCTAACGCACCAACAGAGGAAGTCGAAGATGAACCTCTACCACCCACTCTATATATCGCCATCGCGCCTCTGGCCTCTGCCGCTAGCGTTAAGAAGTGGACGATCCTTCCCGTTACATTAATGCCCACAAGCTCGCAGTTCCCTTCGCTTCCGCCAAACACCGTGCTCATCCCCGACTCGATGAACATGGGTGCGCTAGAAAGCGTACGGCTGCCCAACAAGCGACCGGTTGGAGTACTAGTGACCGCAGTAAACCCGACATATCTGGACACTGTCATAGTCAATGTTAGGACCGTGCCGGGTATCAATAGTCCGGAGACGGATCATGACATCGAGGACCGCGTCAAGGATGCTTTGTCGAAGCTGAAGGTTATTCATTCGGGGGAAGTGCTGCGACTTAGCTATGGCCGTGCGGTAGTTGGTCGGACTGCGCGGATTGCGTTGACAGAGCCCGTTAACCAGGGATTTCTGAAGCCGGATACGAAGGTTGTGGTTGTGAAGGAGCAGGCGCGGAGGCGGCGGAGAGGTGGGCTAGCGGGCGCTTCTGGCGTTATTCTTGCTGGAGGGGACATGGAGGAATCAGATGCATCGGCAGACTCATTGGTTCTGAGCGACGACGACGAAGACGAGGATGCACTGGAGTTTTCGACCTTTTTGACCGCTCCCTCAACTACTACTTCTGTTTCTTTCCCCAGCATTTCGCCGACCCCCACACTCATGCGAAACGGGATTGCATCGCCTAATTCAAATGGACCCATGCCGAAGTCTGCGGGGCGGGTTTTCCAGCCCCAACCACTGACTTCGCCTGTACCTCCAGGATACCTGCATCCAAAGCCGAGGGAGGGCGACGATGATGAGGCCAGAGTGTTCGTGAAAGTGGGAGATTTGGCAAAGCTGGGATGCTTTTCCGGGGATTGGATAAAGATCTCTGTTGCGGCCACGTCTAGCGATGACATATCAACCTCTCCATTGCGGACTGCCGCAGAGAGTGTGGCTAGGGGACAAAACTTTCGACCTCAGAGTAGCGGTGGGAGTGTACGCAATGGGAGCAGAGGGTTCCCTGCGCGGGACGAATCCGGTGTGCATAACGAAGAAAAGGAACAAATTCCGGGCAGGCCAGTGAGAGTTTTCTCTCTCCCAGAATCATGGGAAGCGGCAACGAACACGTCCAAGAGTCCAAAGGGCAAAGGGAAAGTCTTCAGCATTGGCGGAGCGGACGGGAGAATCGTCTATCTGTCGCCTGTACTGCTGGCAAACCTTTTGCCCGATAATTCGACAGCTGACTTGCTGTTGTCTCCGCTCCCTACAACTGCGCCCGCGGTATCATCTGTCCTTCACTCCCAAGCTCCGGCATTTCCGCCTCCCGCCAAAGAGGTCACGCTGCTACGTATTGCGTCGCCAACGTCGACTGACCGCGCACTGCAACCGTCGCTGCTGCTCCAGCTAAAATCTTACTTTGAGTCCTGTCGAAGGCTGGTTAAGAAGGGGGACTTGATTGCGGTCAGCATCGATGAAGTCCTTGCGCGCAGTCTTTACGGCGAAGTGAGTGAAGACGGGGTGACCGAGGAGCTCCTTGCTTCTACGGACGCCGGGCGCAAGAATTGCGTTGCATGGTTCCGAGTTGGGAGTATTGTGTCCTCCGCTGCCGATGAAGGGGATGGAAAAGACGGCCGCTCATCCTCGCGGCGTGGGGACGTGAAACAGTCAGGGGAGGAGGGAGATGTCTGGGAAGGGGTGGTCTTTGTCGATCCCGCGAGCACACGGATGGTCCAGGCTGGAAGCGAGAAGCGCAAGATTCCTCCTACGATACACTCGACCTGGGAAAACTACCTTGGTCTCCGTCCGCCGCCCCTCCGTGAAGCCACGGTGCTGGGACGTCCGGTGCAGATCACCATGCCGGAGCGCTTTGTTAGTCAGACTCATCGTCGATTGAGAGAGTTGATTGCCGCCGCCACATCGCCGAGGGCCATTAAGATGAACCTACAGCCACTTGCAATACTGGTCACTTCGACGCAGAGAGACATTGGAAAGCGAACTCTCGCACGTGCTGCAGCCGCCGATGTTGGAGTCCATGTCTTCCACATTGATGCGTACGACATCATCGCGGACGGAGGTGCCGGCGATACGAAAACGGAGGCTTTCCTTCGGGCCCGTGTCGACCGTGCACTATCGTGCGGAAAGGAGACGTGTGTCCTCTTGATCTCCCACGTCGAGGCTCTTACTGCCGGTCGGATGGGTGAGGTGCTCAAAGATATTGTTGCAGACATGAAGATTGTCGTTGCAACTACAACTGAAGTGGACAAATTGTCGGACACGGTCCGCAACGTGTTTACCCATGAGCTTGAAGTTAACGCTCCAGACGAGAAGGAGCGTGCTGCCCTCCTGTCGGCCATCGTCGACGAGAAAAAGATCCGCGTCGCATCAGATGTCGCACTCTCCGCTATTGCCGTAAAGACTGCCGCATTGGTCGCCGGAGATCTAGCAGATGTTCTGGACCGCGCGGTGGCTGCCTCGAAGAGCCGTGTCGCGGCTCTTGCGAAACGGTTGAAGAAAACTTCGCCGCCCTGCCCGTCTCACGAGATACCGACTATACAAGACCTCCAATTTGCCGGTGGTGATGCCGTCACTTCTGTTTGCCGTGTTGACTTTGACGTGGCTGTTGAAGCCGCACGCAGGAACTTCTCGGACTCCATCGGCGCGCCCAGGATCCCCAACGTGTCCTGGGACGACGTTGGTGGTCTTGCGAACGTCAAGTATGCAGTTATGGAGACGATTCAGCTCCCCTTGGAGCGGCCCGAGCTTTTCGCCAAGGGAATGAAGAAGCGAAGTGGTATTCTCTTCTACGGCCCACCAGGAACTGGAAAGACGCTGCTCGCCAAGGCCATCGCTACCGAATTCTCGCTCAACTTCTTTTCCATCAAGGGACCCGAATTGCTCAATATGTACATCGGAGAGTCCGAAGCCAACGTCCGTCGAGTATTCCAGCGTGCCCGTGATGCCAGGCCTTGCGTCGTCTTCTTCGACGAGTTGGATTCCGTCGCACCCAAGCGAGGAAATCAAGGTGACAGCGGTGGTGTCATGGACCGTATCGTATCCCAGCTCCTCGCCGAACTTGACGGCATGAGCGAGGGCAAAGAAGGCAGCGGTGGTGTCTTCGTTATCGGCGCCACCAACAGACCCGATCTCCTCGACCCGGCGCTTCTGCGTCCCGGCCGTTTCGACAAAATGCTGTACCTTGGTGTCTCCGACTCGCACGAGAAGCAGCTCACCATTCTCGAGGCACTCACGCGGAAATTTGCGATCGAGGATGGCTGCAATCTCATGAAGGTCGCAGAAACTTTGCCGTTTACATACACCGGTGCGGACCTGTACGCACTTTGTTCAGACGCTATGTTGAAGGCTATAACGAAGCAGGCGAGATATGTCGATGAGCAAATTCGCAATATGGAACAGCGCGGGGAAGGGAAGGTGTCTACGGCGTGGTGGTTCGATAATGTGGCTACCGAGGATGACGTCAAGGTCGTCGTCAGAGCTGATGACTTTGATGAGGCTAGACGTGAGCTGGTGGGGAGTGTTAGGTACATCGCCTTTTGTTGCATTTCTTCCGTTGCGGATACTGACAGATGCCATAGTGCCAAGGAATTGGAGCACTACCAGCGTGTGCGCGCGCAATTTGAGCAACCCGATCCGAAGCCAGAAAAAGAAGAAAAAGAAGATAAAGGGAAAGGCAAGGCCGCCAACTACCCTGACTCCGACGACGATGATGAGAAGCCCACCTACACGACCGGAGGAAAAGGAAAAGGAAAAGCGGTCATGCTCGAACAGGATGGCCACGAAAGAGAGTTCAGACCCAATGGGTGGGAGGACCCGGCAGGAAACGACGATGACGAGCTCTACGGAGAGTAAATGTGGAGAGATACCTATTTGTATTTGTTTCTTTTGTTTGCATACCCGTACGGCGGATACCAGGAGTGATGTTTTGGATGTCGATGTCGATGTGGATAGGTAATGGACGAATCAGGAGTGGAGTGGACTCCATATTTAGGATTTACAGCTTGGTGAAGAACGGTGCACTGGGCCATAATCAGGCGTGACTCTAGGCAATCACCTTTGACTGTCTGCTCTTGAGTACTTGTAGAAATCATCATTGTGCACACTAGCCACCTACAAACAGCAACGGTGGTCGGAATAAAGGGAATTTTGACACCAATTCTCACGGAGCTCACTGGCGGTGGTACTGACTGCGAACATGTGATAGAGAGAGAGAGAGATCTTCCTATTTTATTTCGCATGCAGCCTATCTAGACTATTGCAAACGATCTCTGTTTCCTGTCCGCCCTGGCCAGTCGAGGTGAGCGAACATGTGATTACAATTTACAGTCCTGCACGTACCGTCACTCGGCGAGTGATGAACCATAGATGTTAATATTATGCGTCTTATTGTTTGTTCCGGAGTCATTGCTACTTTCCATGGTCCTTTACTACTTCCAAATGTCCTTTGCATACTGCTCTCATTTTCTTCGTGGCTGCTTAGCATTACCTATGGCTTCTCAGTAGAATCAGCCTCGTCAGCTGAAAGCTTTCAAGCCACCAGCCCAGTCGGGCGACGAGTATCCGGCCACGAGTATCTTCGCATCTTCTGTCTGAGGCCCGGTTTTCTCCACGTCTACACGAGCTCGTTTCCCTTTATAAGTAGTCTTCTTTCTCTTCTTTCTCGTATCAATACATCAATCAAGTCAAGTTATTCTCTCAATTCCAACAATATAAACGTCTACATACCTTTAATGGATACACGGACTGACAGAATACACCGAAAAAAACCCAGGGCGGCAGTGATTTAAACCACACCCCCTTCCCGTGAGTGGCCACCCTTCCTTCCATCACCAATCTCCAAATCTTTCCAATTCCCCACTACACAACATCTACATACATTCACACCACCAAAACCGATCAATTCGAACATATCATATCAACAATGAGCACCAAATCCACACGGCCGAACAGGGCACCGGCCTCGGCACCTGACCGGATCGAGATCATCAAGATGCACCTACTGGGGCACACATTGGCCGCGATATCGCACCGCCTAAAACTACGCTTTCCGAACGAGGCGATCGAGGACATCATGTGGGATCTGGGTGCACCCTCCGCGCCGCTGGATCGAGTGCTTGTGTTTGTAACTTTGTAGCCTGCTAAATGTACCGTATGTGCCGCTGGTATTTTGTTGCGTCGTCTTGCTGGTTGGATGGGTGTGCGTAACTCTGCGTGACTTCCACTGCCGCCATACGGTGCTCCCCCGCGCGTAACTCTGCGTGACTTCCACTGCCGCCGTACGGTGCTTCCCCGCGGCTGGTCCGCTTCGAGTCGGGGCTGGCCAGGGCTGGCCTGGACTCGTCGCTGCGTCGCTGCGTCGGTGGCGACTAGGCCGCTCTCTCTCTGTCTGTCTGCATGCGGGCATTCCGCCGGCACGATCTAGATTCTTGATATGTCTAATATCGATGCTCGCCTTCCTGTGAAGTGTGGTCTTCCAGACCGCCGTCTGTTGCTGCCAGCGTTTCTGGTGTAGAGTATGTAGATCTTTGGATGGTACATTACCTAGATCTAACTTTCGCCACTGGCGGGCGGGCTGGCCCGGCCGCTGTTCATGCGGTGTCTATAGTTGCACTTGAGCGTCATTGGCTCGATCACGTTGGCTCACGCGGTGACGTGGGGAGTTTCTGCCGTAGGCAAATAGTGGGGCACGACCGTCGGCGTGGATCAACCGGACTGGGTACTGCCATACTCTACATATTCTGCTCGCTAGGTAGAGTGATAGACAGGCCGCATACGATTGATGAGTGCGGAAAACAAAAAACAAAAAGCAAAATCCAAAATCCAACTGGCCAGGTAATTGGCGCGCAATCGGCGCAAAATCCATGTTCGCCGACTTTGAGCGAGTGCGAGTGCGAGCCGGCGACCACCGGGCAAAACTCCAACTGCATGGACGGTCAGGGTTAAAGCCGGCTCTCGTATAGAAATCCGCATGGAAACTTGCACGCATGCTGTGTGGCGGGAGAGCGGGAAGGAACTCACTCGATCGCCGCACCCGGAGGATGAGGAGGAGGAAGTCAGGTATGTACAGAAACCTACCGTACTTACTCCCATACTCGCTGCACCGGGTGAACTCTGGTGATCGATATAGTGGTCCCAAAACTTTGAAGATTATGCCATTTACTTCTTTTCGACATTCCCGGCCCCCATCTCCCGGTATTTTTCTTATATTCTTACCGACGCTGTTGCCTGTCCCGCGCAGTGGGGTTCATACATACAGAAGAAGATTCTGGAGGGTTCTCATGTCAGGCCGCCCATGTTTTCCCCATTCCGTGGTACATAGAATATGTACTACGCCGTCATCAGGCCGACAGACATGTGCATCTGATGATGGAGTCGGCCGGCGGCTCTCGGTGTTATTGCCTACCGGTATTAGTTGCCAATGGAGTAGAGTAGGTAGAGTACTTCCTGACCGTGCGAGAGGCGAGTCGACCACTCGAAGCCTGGAAGTGTGCTCCGAACCGCTAGAATTGTATGTATGTAGGTAGCTTAGAGGTCTGACATCATATCGATACGTGCTTTGCAAGCTGGGCATAACTACTCTAATAGTTAGTACTATACCTATACAATCTCCTAAGTGCATTTGACAACACCGCAGATCAGGCGAGCCATAGATCATGACACAGACACACTCTTTCTTCCGTCCGAATGATTCCTTGGTGTGTAGCCGACCGATTGGGGAGAAAATTCCTCACGGACGAGAACAGGCAGAATGGATTATCATGCTCACCGTACTCGCACCGAAGGTAGATATCGTACATTGACCAGTGGAGAGAAAGAGAAAGGGGGGCTGTGGGTGATGGTTCACCGGAGTCTGGTGGCACACACACACGGGTCACACACCCACACCCACATACATACACACCGACACACACACAAATCAAGCTTCAAGGAGGAGGAGGGGGGGACATTCCGATATCTAGCGTGGCGAGCACATGTGCACGCACTGCACTCCATTCCACGATGGAAAAGCCGTATGTAGTAAAGCAGTGGCCACTGGGTGGCCACTGGGGCCCCGGGAGGAGGTCAGCCCCATTCGCTAACTACACAAGACACGATCGAGACTGTGCGAATGGTGGCTAGTGTTGAGCGTTCCCTTGTTAATTCTGCGGACTCCGACCCATATCCCGCGCTTCAGCCGCTCGCTCGATACGGGTCGGGGGGATATCGATATGCATGCCCAAGGGGAGAGGGGAGAGGGGAGAGGGCAAAAGGATTGCACACGCCCGGTTACGGCTTCCGGCCATGGTGAGCGAGAGCGAGGGCGAGGCCTTAGGCTTCCAGGCTTCTAGACTTTTAGGTTTCCAGGCTTCCAAGTTCCAGGCTTCCAGCTTGTGCTCTAAGCTTTCCGAACTAGGGAGAATTACTTTTGGGATCGGGGATTCGACGGCTGTCTGGAGCGATCATTCCCGAGAACGGTACGGTATTTCCCGGCCTGTTGCCGCCCTTATGGACCTCGCCGCTTTCGTCGCGGAGAGAGGGGGGTTATCCGAAGATATCGCGTCGAGTCATCGTCCATGTTCGGCCGGACAATAGCCCGCCGTCCAAACGGTCACTCCGGTGCACTCAGCTGAATGGGCTTCTCAGCGTACCAGTACAAAGGTACCTTCTCTACTAGGCGGACGTCCGTAATCCTCACTCCCTTCCTCCCATTTTGGCCTCGCTACGGTACCGGTACCGTTGAGCAGTCGTACTCGCTCGCTAGGAAGGAAGCATCGAGAGAACGTACGACTTCTGACGTATGTACATACTTGGCACATACTCCCCGTCTGGTCTCGGTATTCCCACGTTTAATGGCTCAGGTAAGGTTATGGGGGCGAGTCGAGTTAACGTGCGTACATACAACACTTCGCTTAACGTCATCGGGGGAGGGGGGAGAAAGAGTTGGGTCCCAAGGCGGGGGCCATGCGCCCGTCCGCGAGAATAGTATGGATGTAGGTAGGTGGGTAGGTACCTACACAGATAGATAGGAAGGTATGTATGGGCAGCACATATCACTCGAAGCGTGCAATGCTCTATTCAATGTCTCAGCGCCGGATGCGTGCGTGCGCGAGAAAAACGGCTAGGTAAGTACCAGGCCACCGGAGCATATGGTATATCCATTGGACCGATAGAGTGTGTGCCTTGTGAAAGGGGGCGGGGGGATTCCCCGGTGGGGCTCCTTCCAATGCTTCCATCCTCTCCCCGCTTTCGCCCCCCCTCCGCACCCCCGGCTTGGATTTATGCATATTCTGATACTGCTGAGACTGCGGTTCACATCTGTCAACTGAAGCAGCGGGTTTTGTGGAATTCGGAATTCCACGCCGAATGTCTGGCCTGGCCGCTGGCGGGGTCACTCGGCGACGGGAAACCAACCCGAGAGCTCAGCTGTCGTTGTCGTCGATCTGTTCCGAGAAGATGGAATATGGGGCGGCACGCAAGCAGGGCGAGCGCAGCAGGGCCTAACTAGAGTACCTAGAGTACCGGGGCGAGTCGCCGGTTAAACGGATGACTCAACCACCTTGTTGTTTTTTGTTTTTTCTTTGAGGGGGGAAGCTCAAGTGGCTCAGCGGCGGACGATTTACTACTACCATTTACCTATTGTAACTGATAGACATTGGGATTTAGGACCGTAGAGTACGTAGGCGGTAAACCAAGCCATCATAGTGGGAATCATAGTACATACGCATCTGCACTGACGAAATACCTATGCCCACTTCCTGATATTGACTAGTTGCTGGATCAAGTTTCTCTCTGCGCCGCTCCCCGTAGTGTAGTGTTGAATCATGCAGGGACATGGCGGGAATGGATGCCTTGTCTACGGTATGATACGGTGATACCTAGCCTCTAGGCGGACCGTACCGCAGCGAGAGCAGCTTAGTCGTTCTCACCGCCGAATACATCATATGAGTATTATCTAGAGTATATGGTGGAGGGAAAGCGCCCTATATCCCCCCTCGACCTCGACCTTGATCTTGACCGGAGAGAACACGGTGAGCCCTCGCACTCGCCCGGGACGAAATCAGCCCTCGTGAGGAGCTCTGCACTGCACTGTACTGTCATACCTAGTAGTGTTCCTGCGGCAAAATTTCAACCGGTAACAAAAGTATCTACGACCATTTTGTTCCACCTATGTATTATACATACTGTCAACTGAGAACCCCGGTGGATGGTGGGGGCAGCCGGTGACTGTGGTGTAGAGTGAACGTATACGCACCGGTACCGGTAGAATACGGTACCGGTATGTATAGTACTCTATCGATCACCGGCCGATGCGTACTATACCATACATACATGCCATACCATACCATACCACACATGCCATACTATAGTACGATTTCATCACATATGATATGATATGATATCGCTCGACCCAAAAACAGAATCCTCGCTTACTGTCGTAAAAATAATAAAACAAAAACTAAAAAGAAAGGAAAAGAAAAGAAAGTAAAAGAAGGAAAAAAAAGAAGACAAAAAAAACATCCAGTTCTCGGAATCTCATGGTGATGATGATGGATGGTGGTGGTGGTCCCAACCAAAGGAATAATTAGAGTACGTCGCTACTCTGATAGTTATCATAGCATCCAGGCAGACACCAGCCTGTCCACCCGCCCATAGTAGGAACATAGCAAGTCACACTCGGTATGTAGAGCCCGTGCCGTACTCTCCATCCCACCGGCCCGGGCGACGGAACGGGCCCTTCGTGGTTCGACCCAGCACTGTCACCGTTACCGTTTGGGTTGGAGCACGCGGAAAAGGTATATATTGGATTGTTTGTGTCTTAGGGTATCTGAAACCCACGATGCGATTGGTGCCCCCCGCGGCCCCCCCTCCCCGCCCACACCGGGATCCTAACTTCCTAAACTGAGATCCTGTGCTGACTCGCTGCGATCCGAGATGTGCTTAGGGTGCATATCCGAGTCATGCGAGTTCGGGATGGTAAGTTTTTGTACTCATGTAGGGTTGTAGAATACCTGCTAAACATTGCTGCACTTTTGATATCTGGGTACTTCCTTGGTAACTACGTGCTGTCTATGATGTAGTGCGTCCAGAAGCTAACGCGGCCTACCTACCTACATACATAGGACGAAAGCGAAAAATATTTGGTACTACACACCGGTGAGATTTTCTATTCAGGTTCAGGCCAGGCGAGTGCCGGACTGACGGACGGAAGTTAAGCGCTCTGCCGTACTATGGGAGAATCAATGTTACATATCACGGTTTTTCATGGTTTCATTGCAGCTACGATTCTACGGATGCTCCCGGAGAAATGTACGGTGCCTAGTCGTGGTATGGTTGGGCACGCCAGTAGCTGGGTAATATTGGGCACCTATTTACATGTACACAGTTATCGGGACTCGGGAGTCCGGCATCGATGTCGGCCTCCCGTGCCCCGAGTCGTATACATACTCTCATTGGGAGGCCAGCCGGCAACCATCCGGAAACCTCAAATCGATATTCTACCTACTGTGCAGCTCTCTCGTTGGGGAGGACGGTGATGCGGCGATCGCGGTGGCGACTGGCTGGCTGGCTGGCTGGCTAAAGCAACCGCAAAAAAGCTCCGACAGGAAAGTTCAAACTTCAAGTAGCGTCAGATCCCGTACATAAAGCACATAGACCACCGATGGCCAATAGATACCGATATGCGGTTCGCGAAAATCCACATACTCCACATACCCTGCAGCGCTGTTAGTGGGCACTGGGCCTGCTAGGTGGTAGGTACTGTGTAGTGTAGGGTAGGGCAGGGTAGTATTTGGAATTATGGATTAATAGTTACCTACATACCGCCTGCCTGTCGGAATGCCGGAAACAGACATGTCTGCAGAAGTCTCGATTGTTTGCTGGCGCGGTGTAAGTAGGTGCTATTCTGTCGGATGATGTAGGGAATGGCTACTACCTAGTAGAGTTGGTACGGCAACTGGGGCCAAGTGGAAGGAAGCCTGAAGGGCATCGCCGTGGTTGTTACTTCCGGTTGCGAGCGATCGCTTGGTAGAAGGTGGTTGCATGAGTAGGTACGGTATGTACGTAGATGTGCAGAAGGATCCCTTGGTTGGTTGGCTAGTTGGTTGTTATGGAAATATCCAGTGAGGACCGGTATGTCCATGTCTACGTCCATGTCCACCTCCGTCCATGGGGGCAAACACGGCTGCTCCCAGTACTCACACGAAGACTCTAGTTCCCCGTTTTACGTCGAATCTTGCAATGGAATCTTTGCCGTGGTTGTTTACGATGCTTATACCCCCATCCTCATCCCTCAAGGCCCCGTGAACCGGAACATTCCCCTGCGCCGATCTCCCGTATGGATAGTACCCAAGTATGTAGGCAGAGATCTTGCCGCGATCTTAGGGGTGTAAACTTCTCAGCCCCCCCCGCCCCGGGGGAGGGCGGCGCACTGTGGAGTACCACGGATATACATCGGTGGAGGATATGGTTTATGTAGCCAGATCACTTAGACACCGCCAAATTGGTAGGTACTGTGCGGTACTATCCAATCTGTAGCAAGTTCGCACGTTTGAGCTTTGCCATCGGGCATTCGCGTCCTTTCCTCGGTGGAAGAATGATGTGTGTAGGGGGTATCTTCGAGCAGGATCAGTACTAGATACCGGTATTGCCACTGACATACCGGTACTTAGTATACCCTACACAACGGCCACAGTCACGCCGCACCAGCTGAAAACCGGCCCACTCCCTTCCTCATTCACTCGCTCACTCACTCACCCGCCCACACACTCAACCGCTCACTACAGATCCATAATCCATTTCCGGCTGGATGA